CTTTTTCACCTCTGGAGCCTGAGGAATATCATAAACCATTCAAGGTTTTGCTCTTTTGGTTTTATGTCGCCATCAGATTCACCTCAGAATTATTTCCTTTGATAAATCCTTCAGTGATTTCCTTTGATAAATCACCTTCCAGTGAGCTCTTTCGTGGTCCAGCAGGCCATTTGTCAACACCCAGCAGTACCCACTGCTCTGATGCTTTATTCCCAAGGCTGTCTGGACAGGTCACTTCACTGAGCACCTGCACTCCTGTCCCTCCCAAAGCCTGGGCTCCAGTACAGTGTCATGAGTCAGACCACAGGATTATCATCCCAAGACTTGTTGACATTGTAAAATAACAATTTTTCAATGGCTTCATTCTTTTCTAAGCCACCCTACCTCCATTTGCTTGCCCATGATTGTGTTTTTGCCTGATGGAAAATTGCCAGTCTTGATGAAAATGGAGAAACAATGGAACACGGAGGGAGAAATTTTGTTTCTCCCCTTTTGCTGTATCCACAAGAGACATCTAAATAGGATTGATGGAGCAAAACCAAAAAGAGTCATCCAAGCACTTGTTAGCCAATTCTGCTGACTCTGTGCTCACTTTCTGCCATGCACACACGAGTGGATGGTGTCTGGGTGTGCACCACCCTGCTTTCACTGGCAGGGGATGGGTGAGGAGACCAGTGGCAAATGCTTGGTAGCCAAGCCAGCCCAACAAACAGAGACCTTTAGAGCAGGACTCAGGAGGCCACCGAGAGGTCTGAAAGGTGACAGGCCTTCCAAAGCTGGAGTTTAAGCTCAGCACAGCCTGTTAAGTGCAGGGAAAACATCACAGACAAGGTTTTGTCTGGCAAAGCAGGTGTGTCTGAAGCCCACCCTTTGGAGTTCACAAACAGCTTTTTTTTCCCCACAGCAGAATGGCTTCCCCCATCTTCAGTGGCTGCTGTGCACCTGGGGAAGTTTTATTTTCTGTCTCCTTACTCCACATGCTGTGGCCCTGCTGTAACTCTCATCCTGCCACCATCAGCTCCTCTGTCTCCACCCCCTCCTTTGCCTGCTGCTCATTGAATTATTTTCATTCCTGTCTTTCACCCTGCTCCCATCACTTTTTAAAAACACCCTTGGATGCTGCTGTGTCTCCTCACCACCCACCACCTTTCTTGTTTCATGTCCTGCTTCTGGCAAGAAATCAAGATGCCTAAACCCAAATTATCCACTTGGCGTCCATGCAGGGCTGAGCCAGGGAGGCTGTGCTGTACTTCTGGAAGTTTGGGGACTCAGTGAAGGCAAAACCAATCCAGGCAGCTTGGACACATACATACATCAAAACACAGCCCTGTCAGACAAAAAAAAAAACTACCCTGGAGAGATATATGACTTATTGTTACTTTATTAACAACGTGGCTTACAACTGTTTCAAGTAAAAAGGGATTTCATTCTGAATAAAAATTAAAATATAACTCTGAATATAGATTTTCACTTATTTACATGGAAACATATATACAGAATAGAATCTTACAGCAAACTGACAACATGCCCTTCGCCCTGGGAACTTTAAAAAGTAAAAACACCAGCATTGATTGATTTATATGTATATATATACACATACATATACACACACATATATATACATATATATATACACACATATGTATCAACACACCAAAGGGATTATGTACACAAACTTCGAGTCAAAAGCTTCAGTACAAACTGGAATGCAAAACAATTCAAAGTTTTCCAACATGCACCACCACGAATGGAGCATAACTGCTGGTTGTGGAGCCAATTCCTGCTGTTCCAGGAGAGACAGAAGGGTTTAAGTGCTTGCCTTGTCCTACACAAGGCACATGAAAAGACTCAACTTCCTTCCAAGGCTGCATTTGAGACTTTCACCTCCTTTGGAACACACAGGACACCCCTGCCTGTGCATGTGAAAGTGTCATGGACTCATTCCCCAGGTTTTCCAGAAAGCAGGTCCCTGAAGGTGAAGGCTGCTGGAACAACTTGGCACATCCTGACCAGGTTTGGCAGAACAGGGATTGGGAAATGGAATGGACACATTTATATGTCCATAATCTCCAGTGAGGCTGGAGCAACAAGAAGCAAGGTGGGGTGCCCTGGGAATGAGCATTTTCATCCTGTCACATCACAACACAAGAGTGTTTTGTATATCCACAACCTGAACTCAGGGCAATGTCACCTTTTCCTGTGGGAGAGAGCTCAAGTTTTAGCCTGGTATTTCCTCTGGAGCTCTGGAAGGTGCAAGAGGAGAGTCTTCAGCCCCCAAAAGACACACAGGAGTTGGGTACAATGAAGAAAGACTGATTTTCCCTCCTATCCAGCCAAGGAGCCTAGAGACACCTGAGCCAGATTTCTCTATCTCCAATGGGAAAAAACAAAATTAGAACCTTTCAGCATTGTAGCTCTGAGTCTACTGCCAGCTTCTGTACCTCCTCTCACCTGGCTCCTGCTGAGACTCAAAAACCATCTCTGCTGTGGAAAAGAAAAGCTTTAAGGACCCCAGCTGTGCTTCTGTTCTGAGAAGTCCCTCTCCACAAGCCCAGAACTCCAGGCTCTCTCCTCTTGAAGCCCTCTCTCCCCTCTCCCATATCCTTGGCAGTGATCCAGACTTACCTTTTTCACTGCAAAAAATTAACACCATAGACTGAAAAAAGAGCAAGGCCACGAGTATTTGTAACTATGACCCAGGTTTGTGCAGTTCAGGTGTCTTCTGCAAGAGAATTCCTGTGCATGGCACCAAATCACTGCAAAACCACTCTTACTCTGCAGGACAGCTGACATTTAAAGCACTGCTGGGCTATAAAATTCTCATCTTTGATGACTGGCTCATATTCTATATGCAGCCATTAACACCATTTACACTTCTTGCTGGAGTATTGTACCAAAGAATAAATGAGACCATTAAAGGCTTCTGCTCCTTTATTGGGAGTTCATGAGCACCTAAGGACACAAGTCCTCTCTTGTGAAGTCTGGCAGACTGCAGCTGCATTTCTGCCTGCTAGGAGAAGGAGGCATTTAAATTTTCTGTTAATTAAGTGCAGGCTTTTTGACTTCTGTGAGAGAGAAACTGGTGAAGAATTGGTCCCACAGCCCACACATCTGTGAGGGCCCTAACACTAACCTCAGTCATTTCTGGATCAAATACTGAGTAACAGATTCCTTTAGTTCTGGGTCAGCTGATGTGATAAGAATATTACTGATGGGAAAATATACATGCATCCACATTTTGAAAGAATTTTTACATAAATATACTGTATAAAACATCTCCAAAACTCCCAGGACTGTGGGTGAAGGGATATTTGTTGAGTGTATCCAAGTTAGAAAGTGTACAGTCACAAGAAAAAAAAAATCCTGATGTTCAAGATGTTGCAGATTACAGAAAATATTTCCTGGAGTAAGGAAATCAGCTTTGCAATCCCAAGCAATGGAAACTACAGCGTGACATATCTTAGCACCAAAATGGAGCCCTTGGGACTGTATTTATCCACTTGTAATAAAGCTGGTTTTAATGGTGTTCAGTTGCAGCATGTTCTCTTTTGGCACTTGAACGTGGAAACGAGAGGAACACTCTGAGTTCATCGTTCTCCAGATGCACTGCACCAGAAAAGCACAAAGTTTCTCAAGTGCCCTGATGGTACAGAGCTTCTGAAACACTGAGATGGCACAGCAGCTCTGCCAAATTCCATTTTGTGCCCTGAAAAGACCAAGGCAGGCTTTAAGGTGACTGAATGTTGATTCTGGCAGCCCAACATCACCCGGTTTGCCTTCAGAAGGCTGAGATGGGGACACCACACAACTGGGACTGCAACAGGCTGAAAGTTAAAGCCAAGGAATGGTGAGTTTCCAGTTTAAGGCAAATTAGCTGTTTGCCCAGAGTCAAATAAAGGAGTTTAGGTGTCCCACTGAAAATCCTTTTAAATCCCAGCAGAGATCCAAATAGCCCTGTCAGGGTGGGTCAGGCCATCTAAGCTAGCACATGCATCCACTGGATCCTTTACCAAGGACAGGATGTGCCTGGACTTTGGTGTTTTCTGAGGGCACACAGCATTTTTAGGAGGTTTCTGCATCCTGCAGGAGCAAACTATCAAGGGTTATGGAATATGGACAACAGAAAAGAGCTGGAAACCCTGAAATTCTCCTTAGAGCTGAGAAACCTTCATGCCTCTGAAAGGTAGGAAAAGCCAGGGTTTGGTCATCTTGGCAGCTGTGTTTGTGAGCTGAAAAATAAAGAAAAGCTCTGAAACCAAAGATCACTTTTCTTGAAGAGCATCCATGACAGCAGGAAGAAAGCAGGACAACCAACGAGGCAATCATGGACACTCCCTAAGTCAATGATTTAATCCAGTTTCAGAGATGGATGCTCTGGGCCTGAAAAGCGGGAATTGGCTGATTCTGTCAAGGTGAGGGCTGTGAAGGGAGCAGGGACCTGCCCATGGATCTGCTCAGCCTGACTGAGAGCAAGCTCCAAAGAAGCCAGTGCAGATAAAGAGGAGCAGGCACCATACACTCTTCAGCCCCCTATTTTTGTTCCAAAAATGCCCATCTTTGGTCCTATGCCCGAAGAGAGCCCAGTAACACCTGCACAGCCTTCCAGGTATTCTGTGTCAGTGTGCTGAAGGTCAGCATCCAACAGCCCAGAAATAACAGCAGGGCTGCTCCCCAGCCCTTGGCAATGGCCTGGCACAACCACGAGTTCAGCACTTCACAGCAGTGCCTTGTGCAGCTGATAAAACAACAAACTTCAGGCATGGATGCCAAATTCAGACCAGGGAGGGGAGATGTGGCTTCACCACTGTCATTAGTGCATCTCTGAAACTGCAGCAGCTCTGAATTTAACTTGGAATCAATCAGGTCTGGAACAAAAAACTCCACAAACTTACAGCGGTTTAAACTTCTACATTGCAAAGTAAAGTGGTATTTTACTCTAGCAAGATTGGATTTCCATCATCTCCTTTGAAGTTCATTACTCCAAAGCTTTACTGATGTTCCACAATTGAAACAAAGTCCAGAACAAGAGTAATTAGTTCCTTCTGATCTCTGCTCAATCTAAGTACATTGCTCAGTCAAACTCCACACCACCCATTCTCCACTTGTACAAAAAATGGCCCAAGAAGTTCAGCTCCAGCTTTTCTGGAAAGCAATCAAAGCAACAGACAACAGTACCCCAATCCTGTATCTCTTCCCAACCTGCAGACTAAAAGGAAATAGTAAAACATTTACTACCCAAGGTAATTTTAACATAATTTCTGGTTATCAACTTCTCTGAGAGCACACAGAGATAAATGAGGCAACACTGAGAAATAATAAAGTGAAAGACAAATAGTGAGGAGAGAGAAACCTGTGGAAATAAAAGAGCCAGTGCAAGATAAAATTAAAACCTTTTTTTGTTGTTGTTTAATAGTTTGAGTTCTGAATATCATTTAACTTCCCTGAACAACCAGTAAAGATTCCCATGTTCTTGGCTCAATGCTTCACCCATTCCCTGACTGGCCAGCACTGGAGCTGGTTGCTCTCAGAGTCTGTGTGTGTCTGCTCCCCAGTCATGCCTCCATGAGGAATTAGCTGCCATAGGAATATCTACAGTTACAAGGCTGATGGAGACAAATAATGACATTTTTGCAGTGTGTCCTAGAAGGCATTAAGTGTCTTTGACAAATCCAAGAGGCCAGAAACTCCAAGAACATCAGAGCAGCAGAAGAAGCCCGATTTGACGAGTAAAGGATCAGTGCTGGGGTGCTGTTTAGCAAACAATCTTTCTGCTTCCCTTTCTTGGAATGTCCTCATGCACCAGTTCTCCTGACAGAATCCTCCCAGGAGCTGTCTCCTGCTGACAGATGTAACACCAGGACTGGGCTGAAGTGAGGAGGAGCTGGGAGAAGCAGCCTCCCTGATTTTCTCAGCTGTTCTCTCACTTTGCTGGGTGCAATCCTTCTGTCTTCAGAGGCGAAACACTGAGCAACACTTTTAGGGGATCCTGAGAGGGATCCAAAGTAGTTTTCAAATCAGTTACACTGACAGATTTCACTCCTACTGTCAGTAGGAAATCCAGTCTAAACCCAGTTTTTTAACATCTGCCCCACTACAGAACCCTGTTCCCGGATTTCTGAAGAACAAAACCTCATCATTTGATGCAGAGGCAAATAATACTGCCTTGAACTGATTAAAACTCGGACAAGACCTTCAGAACAAAGCAACAGATCCAGTCCTGCTCATGTCCCATGTAAGCACGTTTCTGATGAAGTCTCAGCATCTGGTCCAGCCTGCAGCAGTTGCACCCATCCCATCTCTCAGTGACAAATCAGGAAACTTGCTGAAACACAAGCTGGAAATTCCCAAGTGATACATGGCAGAGTCAATGCTTCTTGTCTAAAACACTCTCTGGGCAATATCTGGATGTATTCCACAGTATTTATATCTCAAGGTTCCCTCCTCTTCTCCAAAGAATTTAAGAAGGAAACCAATGAAGGCGAAGGCAGCAGCTGCAGCCTGGTGTTGGTCAGTAGGTTCTTCTGAGCACAGGGGTCAGCAGGAGTCCCTGTCAGTCTGCTGTCACCATATGGCTCAAAGACAGGTCTTTAAACTGACTTGGGTTTAAGAGTTAAGATTGTGACAAGAATGTACAAGAATGGAGCATTGTACAGCTGCTATCACAGACATATTCAGTTGATTGTGCAGAGCCAGAATGGCTCAGGATGTGCTGCTGCCCCACCAGGTCTTGTGTCACTCCTGTCAGTCCACTGCAATTTTGTCTGATATCACAGAGACCATGGCTTGAGTCCCCTCTCAAAATTCAGCCAGGAATAACCATTATATGCCTGATGTAACACTTCTTCCTTTTGTAAAACCAGAGAGGTGGGAGGAAAAAAAAAAGTCCATTCATCACCAAGGTCAAACTTGCAGTTCAACCCCAGGTAAAGCTACAAATGATGACTTACATTTCAATATGAAAGAAGAGTGTCAGAGTTGTCTAACAGAAATGTTCATGTCCAGAAGTTGTCCTAGACAAACCGTGGCCACCTGGAAATGTCTGACCCTTCTCCTTGGGAATGTGTAGGTTTGGTATGGTGACAAAACACCTGATCCATGCTGGCCTTGCACCAATGGACAATGAGTTGGAGAGGCTCACGAGGAGAGATGCCAGCAGTCTTTCCATGTGCTTCACAAGTACAGAAAAGTGAGTTCCATTTGTAGCTCTTTTTCTTTTTGTGTTTGTTTTTCTTCCCCCTACGCATTAATTCCCAGTGCTTCCAATTCCACTTGTTCTCAGAAAACAAAAAGGATATGGGGGAAGAAAACCCCTTGAACAAGTTGAAATGGTAAAAAAAGATCGGGAACAAGGAGGGGCACAGGAAGGAATGGAGAAGTGCAGTCAGTTGGCATACTGTGCATAGAAAGCAACTTTTACTCGCTCGATCTGGTGGCACAGTTTGATGGCTGGACCCAGCTTCAGCTCCATGCACTCCTGCACCGTGGGCAGTGTCAGCAGCAGGAGTGCCTGACCATCGATGTCCTGGGGAAAGAAACACAGGGGAAAACTGGTTTGTTTCTGGACTCTGGAGGACAGAATGTGTAAGCAAGTTTGGAGGAACGAGAAGGGCAGTTTGCCCTAAAAATTAAGCTCTTTTATCCTCTGCTTTTTCCTCCCACTTTGACACTGCCCATCTCCTTTCCCTGAGATACAACATGACTTTTCAGAAGTTGTACAGTATCTTTTCATAGGTTCTCACCTTAACCCCCAGCTTGGGAAAAGCCTCCCAGCTGCTGAAATGAAGGTCACCTAAAGAACCTCTGCAGAGTCCACAGAAATCTGATCAGTCCCATTTCATGCCTGGGGAACTGAAACAAGGGGCAGGCTGCACACAGACACTAGGAGACATGGGAGGGAGCTGAATGGAGAAACTAATGCTGGTCCCACCGCCAAGCCAGACCCTTTCCCCACCTCCTCTGGCCCACAATTTGCTCAGCACAGGTTTATGTCTGCCTTGCTCCATGCCCTGCACCCAAGTCCACCCAGAATCTGCCTTTTTCCACTGCTGAATGACCAAGAGAGGGGCCTGGACCACCCTAAGCCCTTGCAATCTCTAATGTCTCACAATCCCAGAATTAGGCTGGAAAGGACCTTTGCAGGTCATGCCTTTCCCTCAAGCATAACTATGCCCCAAAGACCATGAACTAGTACCCTGGATGAGCAATTTTATTGGGAACTTCTGTTTGCTTTATGACCCTCTTCTTAATAAAGAACTCAAGTTCTCTTTATTCTTTAATGGACTGAGATGATCAGGCCACAAAACTGCTTTTTATCCTTTAGGGAGGATCAGAATCTATGCACAGCAACTCACAGGCAACATAAACTCCCCAAGACAGCCCTGATTAGGCAGCATTGACCACAAGGAGGATTTACTTGAAGTGCTGCTTTGATCAGGACTGTCCACAGCTCAGGTCCATCCTCCACTGAAGGCTGATGGCACAGATCATTGCACCAGAACTTCACAAAGAAAAGCTCCAGTCATCTGTGTTTGATTCAAGCCCCTATCAAATTCTCTGGCAAAGAAGAGCCAGGGTTGGCTTCCAAGCCCTGGCACTGCTCCAGGCTGGTTAACAAATGGTTGGAGCTCACTGTGACACAGAAACTGCAGCATCCTGCTCTGGGGAGTTTCACTCACTCCAGACTCACCCTCCACCTTCTCCCAGCCACAGCAGCTGGAGTCATCCATGGTCAGGAATCAGAGACAGTTCAATGAGCAGCTGGCCACACCACTGACTAATTAACCACACTTGCTTCTTCCTAACTACAGCTTGTTAGTGCTGCCCTTTACCCTCAGCAGTGGCTGCTACTCATTAGCCAAGGAATGGCTCTTTCCACATAAACTTTACACACACTGGCTTGAGCTGAAGAACACTGGTTTCTGTAAACCTATCTGCTTAATGGGGAGAAGACTGGCATCTCCTAAATTTAGGTCATCCAAGGTCTGCCTGGCAGATCTTCAGAGGAACGTAGTTAGGAATTAGGTATCTACACATTGGGACATTGAGGTGTTAGTGGCAAAATTCAGACAGCCACTTTGGGCTTCAAGCAGCACTTTTCTGCTTCCCAGGCCAGTATTTCAGAACAGGATGGAACCCATGTGCCTGGAGAAAGCCTGGTATGTACCAGGTAACCACTACCTGTTTTTACACTGAGGTTCCTGCCTATGGGACATCAGTATGGCACAGTGGACCTTGGCATGAAAGGACTAAGCCTCCTTTTCCACAAGGGTTTTTCACAAGGCTATTAAGTTTCTGGACTCTCTGAGCATCTGGCAAGGCTCTGACTCAAGTTTCTAAGGGTTTTCATGCCTTGCCAGAATTGGTGTTTATAACTTGGCCTGATGGATCTGAAGCCTGGTCAGTCTCAGTACCAAAGGCCCAGCCAGCAAGGTGGGATGTGCTGTAACATGAACAGGCACCACAGACACAAAGGGACAAGTGACAAAATGACTTTTACCTGCTCCTGAAATATTTTGGCAAGGGGTGCACAGTCAGTGAGTTTAATAAACCTCACAACATCAGTCACAGTCCACTCCAGTGGGTTACTATCCAGGACGAGCTTCTCTTCCTCTTCTTGCTTAATTTCCTGCGAGGAAAGAAAAAAAATCACAAAGAAAGGCTTTTATAAAGCGAACTGCCTCCTGTGGATAACCAGGACAGGGTTATTAATGGCAAAATTCAGACAGCCAGTTTGGGCTTCAAGCAGGCTTGAAGCAGATTTCTACTTCCCAGGCCAGTATTTTAGAACAGGATGGAACCCATGTGGCCTGAAGAAAGCCTGGTATGTACCAGGTAACCATTACCTGTTTTTACACTGAGATTCCTGCCTATGGGACATCAGTATGGCACAATGGACCTTGGCAAGAAAGGACTAAGCCTCCTTTTCCACAAGGGTTTATCACAAGGCTACCCTGACCAAAAGGGTGTCAGGCTGTATTCTGACTCTGTCAGTGTTTTGGGTTTGCTCTCTGTAATACTGCATTTCTATTTTAATTTTCCTACTAAAGAACTGCTATTCCTACTCCCACATCTTTGCCTGAGAGCCCCTTAATTCCAAAACTATAATAATTTGGCGGGAGGGGGGGGTTGCCATTCCCCATTTCAAGAGACGCTCCTGCCTCTCTTAACAAACACCTGCCTTCCAAGGCAGGGCACAGAGGGCACACACACCCACCTCCTTGGCTGGCGTGCCCTTCTCTGCCTCGCTGCAGGGCTGGGGCTGGGCTCTGCGGCTCCGCCGGGCTCTCTCGGTGCCAGGAGGCCGCTCCAGCTCGGTGCTGCTCCGCAGGGTGACGGCTCTGCGGGGCCGGGCCGAGGGCACCTCGGCCGAGGACGTGTCGGTCTGGTCGTCTCGCAGCTCCGAGCTCGTCTCCTCGCTGCCCGTCTCGTCCTCCATCGCGTCCGCCTCGTCATCCTCGCTCTCCTGCACACACAAACGCCATCCAGGGGATGGGTACGGCAAACCCGAAGGCACTGCGGTCACGCTGCATCCCCACAGCCGTGCTGCTCCGGGGTGGTTTCATTTTAACCCAATTACCTCGTTTTTCGTTACAGCGCTAAGTGAATTAGCCCTCTGTGGATGCTGGCGAGAGCCAGGGAAAAGAGCAGTTTGAGTTTTCCCGAACTACTCAAAGGAAAACAGAAGAGAAAGAATCAATAACAAAGTTTAGCACCTTAAAAAGCGTGTTAAGAAACGTACTGTTTTAGTAAAAACACGTTTACAAAAAGTGTTGCCTTCCTTAGACCAATGAGCTTATTCTACCCTTAGTTCAACGAACCAGTCTATAAAATTGTGCCTACTCCTGCAATAAATTGCTTCTTCTGCTTTCTAAATAAAGCCTGTGTTGCTGTATTTTTTTGCCACTCCCTAGCCTTACAGGGACAGCCCTCGATTTAGGTTTGTTACAAAACGCCTCAGGAAAAAAAAAAAGTATGCACCAGGAAATTCTTTTTTTCCTCCCAACTAAAGGTTGACAGCAATAACTCATCTGGCATGAAATGTTTCTTTCTTGGGCTGGTATCTCAAAACTTGTGGCGCTGCAGATGAGCACGAGTAGAAATGGAAAATACTGAGAGGATAAAATGGAATTCAGGTTGACTGAGATGAAATAAAACCAGAAACAGACTTGACTTTGAACTTGCACATTGCTTCAAATTGGTTTGGGTGTTATTGGTCCTGAAAAATGGGAAATTTTGGTGCCTTTTGAAAATGTCTAGATGTTCAAGATAGCACTCTTTTAGTGACATTTCTGCAAAACTCGGGACAGAGGATTTCACCCAGATTTCCCTGCTTTCAGCTCAACACTGAACTGCTGCAGGTGAAGCTCAAAGTTCCATCTGAAGTATTATACCAGATTCTTGTTATTTCTGTCACACATGGCTTACAAGCACTCACCAACTGATGGAAATTGTGCATTTTGAACTTTACATACATAAAACTGCCCAAATGGCTTTGACAGATTATCTCTGATCCAAGTGTGAGGAGGCACCCAAAGCCATATGCTCAGGTCTTGAGTGGAAGAGCAATTTAGACAAAGATAGTTGTACTGGCTGAAAGGTTGAAAAACTTGGCTAATGGTTGATTTAAGCTTAACATAAGTTTAAGTTCCTTTGAAGCAGGTATAATCTAAGGAAATGAAGCAGAACTACACCTAAATGAGGACCAAGCCATGAAGATTCAGGCAATCAAAGAAAGCTGAATAAAATAACCCACTCTAGCTGAAGTAGAGGGAATTTAAGTAAACCAATTTTATTTCACATTGCACAAAGCAGCAATCACTGGCACTCAACTGAAGAAGTGAAACCACACGTGAGCTCTGTTATTGCCACCATGGGAAAAGCCCCCAGAAAAAAGCCCACACAGAACTAAGTCTATTCCAGGTTTGATTTGGACATGAATCTTTGCTGAGGCTCAGACACCCTGTTGGATCACACAGCAGACTGGCAAGACTGAGCCCTCAAATTCCATGTAGTTGGGACACAAACCATTTGCTTGTATGCTAAGGCTTGATGTTTGTGAGCCAAAAATATTAGGAATAGTGAATGAAAAAAATAAAATTCTTTGAAATCACAATGGCTATGAGCTATTATTTATGACAACACTTGGAGATCTTAAACATAGATAACAGAACTCCTTCACTCTGCTAAATGCTTTGCAAAGCACCCAACAGGCTCATCTGCCTGCTTTTAAGGAAGGAAGTAAAATAAAGAGATATAAGGCAGGATGTCAGCCAGTGAGCCTTGGGAAGGTAGGAGCAAAACATCTGCTTGCTACCTCCGAAATGGAGAAAGTAAAAATCCCCAGAGTGCCCCAATAAAACCAGTCTGACCTTAGAAGAACAGAGCAGCAAGGAAGGATCCAATATAGAAACCAGAAGTGTTCAGGTGTGCTGAGAAGCCCCCCAGAAGGAATGGGGGACAAGAAGAAGGTACCCAGGGGTTTTTGCTGATGTATCCCAGTGTGACACAAACCTCTGCAGAGCCTGCAGCATTCGAATCCACAGCTGATGATCTCCTTTTCTTCTGCACAAAGATGGATTTCCGCCTCTTTCTGCGTCTGGCTGGCTTGACATGGCCACTTTTCATGTTGTTATTTTCCCCAATCGGTGGCTTAATGATTTTTTTCCTCTTCCCATAATAATAAGCTGGAGAAATGAAGCACAATGCCCATTAAAAACTTTAACCACCCAAAGAAGGGAACCTTGGCTTGCTCCTTGCTACAGGGTCAGGACTGTATTCTAAGTGCAATTTAAACTTTAAAATACATTGATTTGGGAAAAGAAAAGTGCAGCATAAATAGGTCATGTTGGACTAGCACAGAGTGTTACAGCTCTTATGTATCCAGATTTACTGATGATGAATGAAGACTTCAGAATTTAACAATGTGTTTAGGCAGAGCCGAGCAGTGATTTGGAGGGAAAGAGGCCAACAAGTTCCAGATTTGATCCAATGCAGTTCCATGTGAGGTAACAGTCTCAGATACCCTTCCACTTGCTAAAGTTTTCAGCAGAGAGGGGAGAGGGCGAGCTATCCTCAATCAGGTACAAATGAATGGGTTTTTTTACTTTTAACTATTTTGCTGAAATCAAGGATGAGAGTCCTCTGACTTTGTATTAAATGTTTGTATTAAATGCCTTTTGACACCTTCAGGAGGTGACCAGCAAAGGTATCCCAGGAAAACTAAAATGGCCCTTGGCACCCATGCCAAAATTCGTAACTGAACTGAGCCTTTCAGCAAATCAATGGAGTTTTGAGGAAAAATTCATCCAGTTACATAAAACAAAACTCTGAGATGGGACAATCTCAGCTGGAGCTCCCCCAGCTGCCCTCCTCCAGCCCTCCATTTGCTTCCAGTGGGAGCCAAGACTCCAGCTCAGGTATAAACTTCTACAGAAACTCATCCTCAATGATCTCAGCATTTCCCTGAGCCCATTCCTCTTTCTACTCCGCCACCAAACTCAAGAGAATTGCTTTAAATCAATTATACTGCTTTCTGCAACCTTTGTGGAAGCAGGACAACACTCTCTCCACTTTCCTGACCTGTTTAAGAGCCAATAATACCAATAAGTAATATTGACAACAAAAAGCACTGAACACTAACAACAGCCTTCCTGAACAGGCAGGATTATGTTTAAATACTCAACACTCTGAGTAGACAGTCAGTGTTCCCAAACCTTCCAGCACCTTAGCACTGTGGCTCTGGTCTGGGCTGCTGTGCATGCCAGAAACTCTTTACCAAGAGGATTCATTCACCTAAAGAAGCTGTCTCAGATGTAGCAAGTTAAAATCTCAGCTTCCCACTGCAGGTTCCTTGTGTTAGTTTTAGATATGAAGAAAAGCCAAGACTTCCAAAAAGTGATGACGTTCAAACAGATGTATTAGGATGGAGTGAGAGGGACAGCTTTTGGTACAGGATTCTAAGGGAACCTCTGGTGGCCTTAGGATTAAATAACTGCTCTTAGGTGACAATCCTCATCAGTATTAACATATCACACAACTCCTGTTTCTCACCACACACCATCTCCCACTTCTCTGGTTCCCAGCCAGCACCAAGAGGCATTTTTCCAATACTCACTGTACTTGGTTTTGGTGTGGATGGAGCAGTTCTCGGGGCAGACTTCAGCCACCAGCACAGGGCTGAAGAGGTTGGGGCAGCACTCGAGCTTTGCACAGACCCTCCTGCAGAAATCTGCCACCTGGTCCGACGTCCGCACGATCTTCACGGTCGCCCTGTACGTCTTCCCTCTGTACCTAGGGAGGAGTACAGCACCCCACGTCACCCATCCTGTAAAAGGGTCAACTGCACCACCTAATTAGTGGATTGGCTTCATTTTCTTCTGTCTTCACCCAGAGTCAGGATTAAAAACACAAAGGAGACTAATTGCTAGTTCGGATTTGGTTGTTTATTAAATCTTCTCTAAAGTACAGGGAGTTTTGCAACACTTCTACCTACCAGTGAAAAGGGAGCAAAATGGAGCTGAATCTAGCTAGTTACAAGGTCTTTTAAAGCTAAACATTCCAATAAAGAACTAACACCTATATTATTTATACTTTTGACCCAATAAACAAACATCTGTGACCCACAGTGCAGCCCTGACTGTCCAACCAAAAACTACTACCTGAAATCATGAAGAAGGAAGCAGAAGACAGAAAGAAACAACACCCAAAATCCTCCATCTTGTCCCATACCTATTACTATATTTTAAAATCCCAAATTCAAAACCCTCCACTATGTGAAATCACACACTTCTATTCTAACTTACACACCAGTGATTTTAATTCCATCACTCAAATTTGGAAGCTTTCTCCAAGGCCTCAGGTCAAAAGCAGTGTTCTCCTGGGGGTCAGTGTCAGAAAGCACAAAACTCCCAGGCTTCAGGGTTCCAGCATTATCCAGCAAAATCCTGTGCTGCTACAGACCAGACTCTCCTTTTCCAGGGAGAGATCCTCCCCAGGGACTTTTGGGAGAGAGTCTCTCTTGAGAATGCAGGCAGAACAGGTCTACTTTTATTAGTGGCTCCATTTCAGATTGACTGAGGAAGGAAAGGGTGAAATAAATGGAAGGTGTGGACATGATTTGGGAAGGAATCTATGTGCACACTGGATATATCTGTACATGTGTCAAGAGAAGGAAAAAAAAATCTCAGAAAGCTGTGTGAGGATACTGCACAGGACAGCAAGCCCTTATTGTGAACTGATGCAAAATTTTGGGAGAGAGATGCAGCCTCCATATATTGACCCATGATCAGATGCTTATACACCTTGCAGAGCTTTCTGGTCACCATCCTGTGTTTGGACTGAACTCTCTAAGCCCCCAGAGAAACCAAGAACTTTTGATTTTCTTCACTGCCATCTTCTTTCCTGCTCCCACATCATGTTCCAGCTCCCAACAATCCCCAAGACCCACGGTGCCAGCTATCAGGACACACTCATTGTGAAGAAGTATCTGGGTGAAACAACAATCTCTGCCACCCTGGGACCAGACGACTTCACCACTCTGAGACGTGGGCACTACAAAACCTGAGGAACTCATCAGGAGTCTCTGGAGTTATTTAACAGGGCTGTAGCAATAGGCCCTAAAAACTGATTCCTACAGTGAATGCCTGGAGCTGAAACCTGCAATGAAAGGTTTGTCTTAAATTTGCTACGCCACTAAAACATTTATTTCGATGTTTCCTATGAAGTGTTTCTGAGCGATAAATGGCTGAGAAAGACACAGTTACATCCCTGCTGTACTACATTGTAGATGTGAACCCTGCAAAACCAATTATCCCCGTAATTTATTAGACAGCAGCAGCATGCTGTTGTAAACAGTGAGATAAGGTTTTTAAAACATCTCTTATCCATCCTGAGGAATGCAACACGAGAGACAGCCACGCCAGAGCCCGGTGCTGGCATTACAAATGTGCTCAGAGGAGGGAAAAGTAACACATAACGAAAGAAAAAGAGGGAACAACAGTGGAAGAAATATTATTGGATGGGAGGCAAGGAAAGACAAAGATACAGTCACCAGGAAAAATGAAACAAAGCATTTATTGGTGTATTAAGATCCGCAGTTTCCTAGCACCTGCTGATAGATATGGCAGAGGAGGAGGAGGTGGTGAAATAAAGATGTGACCAGAGAGTTAAAACATTCAGACAGCTCTTTCTGAAACAAAGGGGTGTGGGAAAAGGGTTTGAAACTGTGGCACATGAAGTGTTATAACAGGGAAACCCAAATGAAACTTGGGTCTGAGAACAGCCCAGTCCAATCATCCTCAGGTCACAATCCAAATTATCACCTCAGCATAAAACCTGGATGAGCATTCCTGCAAGGTGCCAGGCTCTGATAGCCCATTTGGTGCCAAGACAATCCTGGATTCATTCACCTGAATGCATGAATGATTTAATGAGCCAACTTTTCACAAACCCTTAAAGACCTGGACAAATGATGTAAAAAGGAAAAGTGCTCCTTTCAGGTACAGAGCACTGTTACAATCCCAGCTTCCCTATGAAACAGCTGCAGAACCAAAACCACCAAATGCCATAGGCATTTAAATACCTCTACTTATAAAAGTTTTATATTTCTTTTCAATGTGTTTGAAAAGACTCCTGCACTTATTACTTCTCCAGGAGCCATTAAGTTTAATGACAGCCTGAATCACTGGGTCAGTGAGTCTGAGACAGGCTGCAGGATTTCACTGTGCTGCTTTCACCTGGACCCAAATAACTCTGCTTGGACTAAACCAGCACTTCCAGACAAACACGAGCCTTGAGAGTCTCCACACTGGAAGAATCATGGCACAGGGAGCACTTGTACCTACACCTCATTTTATGTCTGGATGCATCTGAATTTAACTCACATTTATTTGTCCTTGTTCTGACTTTCACCACTAGGATGAAAAGACTGCATCTGGTTTTGTTTCCCTGCAAAAGCACTCTAATCAAATTGCTTCTTGATCTTCTTTCTTATAAGCTAAGAAAGCTGCCTGATGGGTATTATTCAAGGATGGCTGACTTTTTCTAACTGTGTGCTTCCTATTGTGTTTGGCTGCCCAGGAAGGACCCATTGTACTACAGTGCCTGCTGAAAGGAAAAGATGAAACTAGGAAAATGAACAACTGACTGATTTCATAGTCTGCTTTGAATGCAACACACATTTTAATTAAAAGAGAGGATGGCAAAATGGAGATCTCCATGACTGCAGCAATCAGTCTCAATAACCCAAGGTGTTAGTACTGGCCACAGCAATATTTTTTACATCATTTTGGTCTTGGCAGCACCTCTTTCAACTATAAACTAGGTTCTACTAATATTTTCCATATTCCTCACACTCTAAAGATTTTTAACACAGGCACCACCAAATGTAATCTGAGCTGTTTCTAGGACAGCCATGTGGAAGGAGGTTCTTTGTCAGAAAACCTTTTCCATTAGCATCTCTCAGAAAGTTACCAACTACTGATGCTCCTATTTATGTTTATATACCAGGACTCCTATCTTCTCAATCACTTGCAAGCAGCAAGTATGTGCATGCACAGCATGGCAGCACTGGAGTTTGGAAAACTGCTGTCTCAAGGATAATATTTTCAGTTTTCTTAGAAATCGCTGTTCTTTGTTAAAAAAAGATTTTTCAGCTAAAACCAAAGGAATCTTTCTTTCCTCTTCCCCCTTCTCTGCCCTCAGATCCCAAACTCGGAGAAAACCATAAGGCTGGAACTATTTCCATGAAAAATACACTTGCTGATCCATGAGCAAAAGTATTAAATGAACAGCACTTTGCAATAGAATTCTTCTGTTGAAACTCCCTAAAATAGATTAGAGGTTCATGAGAACATAGTGCCTTCTAGAAGCTCCAGTTAGGGACTGCTGTGTGATGACACAGAAAGTCTTGTGCTGAAAAACTTCAAACAGCAAGAACATTGAGAACCTCATTTTCAAAAGTCCCATTCTAAGGTGTTCCGACAATTCTTATGACTGATTTGAACAACTCAGTAGATAAAAGTCTCAATTTCCTTTTGGGGGACTAAAAACTCCTTTCTATTCTTTGCAAGAAAATTTTACCTTGTCTGTCTACCTTAAAGCCTGCCAAACACAAGGAGTTAATTTCCTTCAAAGCTATTTAATCATCCAGTGGCATTTTGTACTCTTGAACACAGGATTCAGAAATGGCACTGGAATGCTCTGGTTGTAAGGCCTTGTCTCATTGAGTCTCCTTCTGATTACAGAAATAAAAGGTTTAAGTCCTTCCACTGACCCTGGTTTGGAGAGCCTTGTTCAAAATGAACACAAATTAATTTCCACTGTTTCTTCCTCAACCCCAAACCAGTTACCTCATCACATCAGGCACAACTCGCCCTCTGCTTCTTGCCAGTCCCTTACTGGTCCTGGATGTTCTCAGAAATGGCTTCCAAGAGGATTTGGCTAATAACCTGTCCAGGAAAGTTAAGCTGACAGTCTGTAGATATTTGGATCCTCCTTCTTGCCCTTCCTAAGGAGAGGTGTGATAACTGCCTTTTCCCAGAATTTAGGATTCTTCCCTCATCCTCATCAATTTCCAAACACACCAGCGAGTGGCCTTGCAGTGACATTGGCCAGTCCTCCCAGGCAGAGCTGGCTGCATTCCAGCTGCTCCCATGCACTTGTGCACATCCAGCTTGCTTCCAGCGTCTTTAGATTATTTCCCATCTCCTGTGGGTAACACTTGGTTCCCTCAAACAGGATCAGGGCCCTGGGAAGCCTGAGAGCCAACCTTCAGTAGCAATGCCTGAAGTAAAGAAGATTTCACACACCTCAGCCTCGCCTATCACAAGCTAAAGGCAGTCTTCTAAAGCAACTGCAGTGGGAAGACTTTCTTTGAAATCCAGCCTCATAAATAAGCAATGATGCATAGGGGTAAATATTCCTAGAGCTCAGCTACAGGATTTGAGCAGGTCTCAGAATTCCATTTAGTGACGGAGTCCAGGAATACTCATCTTTATTATTTTGATCAACTGGGCTTCGTGCAAGACCCAGGAGATAATTTTCTGCACACACTGCTTTTGTTTATGTCCAAAGTCCTGCAAAAAATGGGTAAATCCAAACAGCCCCTTGTCAGCCTCAGATATGAAAACCCTTGAAAAGCATAAAGTCCCTTAAGCATTTTATGTAAAACTGGGAAGGCAAATCAAGATGTAGGCACTGAACTTAAGAGCATCAAAACTATAAGGGCTGAATGCTGACAGCTTCAACTGCCCCTAATGGGAACTCAGGAGGATCAAGCCTGACATTTCTAACTCATCATCACCAATAAATCAGGTTTGACTCTTCTCACACAGAGCCAGCAGCGTTAATGGGAAATGGCTGCCATCACACACTGCAAACACATCTCTCTGGACAATCTAAATTGTTTTATCTTCTTTGCAAGGTGAGAGTAATTGATTCCACAGTGGTCACTCATGACAGCAGAGTGAACTAAATGCAGGCTGCCCCAGGACTGAGATAATGCATTCCTGGCAGTGCAAAACCTTGCATTTGGGACAGAGGAAAAGCAGCCTTCTCTTCACCAATCCCTTTGCTCTACCCTACTGCAGGCACTGCAAACCAACAGCACTGCCAAGACCCAAGGAGGTGCCAGCCCCCACCAGAAAGAAGGTGATGAGTCCCATCACAGCTGGCTCTGGAGCTGCCATCCTCAGCAACAGGTACCATCCAGAGCCCATGGAGCTGGAAGTTGCTCATTGCAGGTCTCTGTTGCTCATTTCAGGACTCTGTTTAAGATTCTGGAGCACTGTCATACCTGGTAGAAGGTGTCATGTGCTGTTTGTATGCTCCACAGTATCTGGTTTCATGACTCTGTTTTCTTTTCTGCTGCTGAACAACCAAAAACAATTAAAACTTCTGGATGGAGAAACTCGAGCAAACTAAAGGAGGAAAAAAGAAGGAAGTTCTAGGGTAGCCAGACAGTCTTGGGTCATGTCAACCTTCTGCCATCCACTCTTAAAAGTATTCAAACTACCCAAAGGCAAGCTGGGACAGCCACCAAGCCCTGCTCTGTGAAGAGATCAGCTACAGAAGCCAGAGAGCTGCAGGAACAAAGTGCTGTCCAGCCCCATGAGCTTTGTCCCCTCAGGAGCCAGAGGGAAATGCCACACTGGAGGAGGATCCACTGCTGTTCTTTGTGTGAAGACGTTTCAAAACTTGCTGTCCCAGCTCTGAGCCTGTGATGATCCATTCTGTGGTTTAATAAAGTTGAAAGATGCTACCTGACTCCCTGGAGAGCTGAGTCACACACATGGACTGTGACTGGGGGGCCAACATAAAGTACTATCATGGTCAGTTAAACATTTTCCAGGCTGTCTCCCATCAGAAATATGGACTGCAGCAGCCTGAAGAAATAGATATTTCTGCTTTAGCACAAGGCAGATCCCCACACTCAAACGGGAAGCCACAACAAAATCCTACTCAGGATCCTGCTAACAGGAAAACTGCCTGTAAGCTCAGTTCTTTGTAGGAGAGGATGTTAATTAATACAGGGCTTTACAACTTGATTTCACAACTGCTAAGTACCTGTATGAATGAATTATCTGATATTTGCAGCACAAGATGTGGGATCCTGGAATCGGTGAAAACCAGGTCATGGACAAAGACCTGTTTTACATGAAAATCTGCATGCTTGAGGTTGACTTTTAGATTTCCATCCACAGAATGTCCATTGACAAACACAAAAGCCTGACAATCCACATGGGTCAAAGAAGCAAATTAAAAATAGGATGTTTCTAGCTGGTTTTTATTTCAGTTTGCAATCCTCCTTCAGGAAAGCAGTTTAAGTGTACCTAGAGTAAAAGTTTCTCAACTCCCTCCCTCAACCTCTGCAATATCTGCATGGGCAAAGATCAAATACAGTAGCCATCAACAGTGCTGTGTTTGGCAGCTATTCATATCAAATAACCAAGAGAAAATTGCTTTTCTTTGAAAAGGAGTTACAGAGTTCAGTACAAAGGGTGAGATTCACTGCATTTAACTACAGTACTTAAAAAGTCAAGGTGACCATTAGCCAACAAAGAGAGCTTTCTTCAAAGAAATATTTGTTGACATCCATCTTCAAGTGGGAAGAATTATTCTTCAGAAGGACTCTGCAGAGAGCTTAGGTGAGACTCCCCTCTTTCAGAGAGACAATGATTGTTGAAATACATCCTAAGCATAGTGCCCATTACATAAAGAAGACATAAATAGGTAGATTTTAATGCTGGAAGGAGGAGTTCAGTATTCTTTGGTGCTGTTTAGAAGAGAATAGAAGAATATATTCTAGAAAGGCATCCAATCTTGACCTGCATCTCTGATCTGTTACTACTTTGCCCTAATCACACTCCTGCTAAAAAATGTGTCCCTGCTAATTCGTTTGAACTTTTCTTGGTGCCATTCATTCTCACCAGTTTTTCTGCATTAGCCTGACAGGCTCTAATTTAAAAGCAGCAATACTCCTGCATTTAGAAAGCCAGGAATTGAGTTCATTCAGTAATAGCCAAGCTTATAAGAACAGCTTATCATAAAACTCAGGACTTGACTTCATCAAAAACTGGATGGCTGCTTGGAGAAAGACAATAGAAATGAACCATTCAGGTGAATATTTCATTTCTGAAGTTGCTATGGAATGAGTCAAATAATTCAATGAAGCAAAACGATAATTAGAAAAGTAAAACTCTCACAATGGAAAAAAAAACCCTTTTCTTATCTTGTTTTTTTTTTTTTTTCCCTAGGCAGTTCCCTTTCTGAAACATTCCAAATAAAAGAACACACATTGAAGACTTACTTTGCTTTAAGTGTTTCCTCCTGGAAATTCCACTGAGGGTCTTCCACAAGCTGCAGTTCTCGTAAAACACTCCCTGGCTTGTAAGCTGCATTGATCACCATGCTGAGAACCTATGGGGAGATAAAACCAACAACAATGATGGGTTTAAAAGTCTTTGACCACACTGAATATGGTCCCAGGTGCTTGCAGCTGTTTGTTTCTGTCCTGGTTGCACAGGTTAAGGGCTGGATGCAAGGAGGAGGGGTCCCAGAATGGATCATTATTGCCACATTATAGATATATTACAGATATATTATAGATAACACCTGATTCTGATAAGGTAGCTGCATTAAATGCTGTTTAAAAAAATCTGCTAACCAGCAATTTTGTCTTTGTGACAGACCCTCTCACCCCAAGCAAGTTCCATAGACTGCATCCATAACAGACCAGTTTAACAAAAAAAATGAAGACAGAAATAGCTCTGAAGGCACAAGCAGGGTCATGTGCACCACTACAGAGTGAACACTGAAGGGGAAATTCACACATTTGAGGTCAGCAATGTGCTTAAGAGCCTGAGAGTTGTGTGCCTCGGCTGTATTAACAGAATAGTAATGAAGTCCCCACAAAAAGAGTTTGCAGGAGGTGTGCCTGGAACCCAGTGTGTGTCCACTCCGTACAAGAGAACACATGTGCCAACCCTTTTAATCCAAAGTCACTGAGAATAAAAATGATTCCTGCTATTGGCTCAGGAAATCCAAGCTTTAATAGCCTACACTTGGCATAGGGAGATAAACACAAGGAAAACAAATCTCTTAACAGCACCAGACCGTGTGTTTGAACACTCTGCATTGTATGCACATGAATGATCCCACAGTGAGTCTGGATTGGTTTTCATCTAATTTAGCTCTTTACCTAACGCCTGTTCTTAATTCCTTGGGGGCCTGCAAATGATTTCAGTATGATTAATATTAAGTTTATCCAGCACCCATGAATGCAGTTCATCAGAAATGAAAAAATAACTAGGTCATACTGCAGTGACCAATGTGTTTATGTTTGTTTGGTTGGTTTTCTCTGAGTTGGGTTTTTCTCCCCCTCTAAATCCAGTAACCTGAGGATTTGCTAGCATTTTGAAAACCCTACAGGATTAATTATTTTCAGGCAAAGGCTTCACTTAATGCTGCAGAGTACTCTGTAAAATGGTACTGGCTGGAGTTGCCTGGATAGGTTATTTACTAGAAGCAAAATTTAATTTATCATTGGGCTCTTGGAATCACTCCTCGAACCACTCTTCAAAAAAGTCCATTTAGAGACAACAAACACTGACAGAGGGTAGATTTAGATTGGATGAGAGGAAGAAATTGTTTAAGCAGAGGGTAGTGAGGCTCAGGCACAGGGTGCCCAGAGCAGCTGTGGCTGCCCCTGGATCCCTGGAATTGCCATCCAGGTTGGGATGAGGCTTGGAGCACCCTGGGATAGTGAAAGGTATCCCTGCACATGGCAAGGGGTGGCACTGGATGATCTTTATTGTCCCATCCAACCCAAACCACTTTAAAATGCTATGAAAAGAGAGGTTCTGAGTGAGCCCTTCCAGCTGCTCACCCACATCCTCTCTTGCTGCTCTCCCCACACAAACTGAGGGGCACTGGCCTCTGACACCTGATGTCAGGAAGCCAGAAGTGGGTTTTCAAAAACATCAAATGCCTGGGGAGCTGCCACACTCATTCACAGCTCATCAGGTGCCTCGATCAGCAAATGCAGGGCGTTATTTAACCCCTATGCAGGAGTTTGTTGGGACAGCTCTCCTTCAGCACACTTCTACACCCACCCCACCCTGCTGGGACATTTGGGGCAGAAAGCATCCTGCACAGCCATTTCCACCAACAGTGCTGTCCCCTCCCCAGTGTAATGGTGCTTGTAGGAGTTGTTGGAATAGCTGGGAAATGAGCAAGAAAAGAAAAGCCAACCCTGCAATACCAGTGTGGCCCTGCCTGGGCGTTCTCCCAGACACCTAATCAGCTCCAGCCCTGCACAGGCACCCACAGTGCCAGGACTTTTCTCAAAGCTGGCTTGTCACCAGCAGGACTCTGTAAACTTCTAAACTCAGTTCAAGAAAAGAGTGTTTTGTAAGAACAATTATTTCCCTTTCAGGGAAGGAAAAAAATTTAAAACCTCTGGCTTTTACTCTTCTTGTATCTCAAATGAGTCACTGGGTTTGGCATTTTACCCTACAGCAAAGGTCCATCATCACAATAACAGTGGCACCTTTTAGCAACAGTATCACTTCATATTGCACTCTATTAAATGCAAACAAACAGGTTTTTGGAAAAAAATTAACTGTGATTTAAACAAAACCAGTGAAGAAACTCAAACCAGTTTCCAACTTTCTCTGTAGATGGAAAATTACATCAACCATCTCAGACCGGTCAAATTTCCTTTGGCTGGAGTGTGACCAGTCTGAGATTTTGGTGGTTTAATTTCAGCTCTCTGCATCAGGAACGGTTTGGGTGCAGTCATCTGTGCCTTGGAGCACAGGGGGGGATTAGGCAAGCCCAGCCTTTGCTCTAACCCATCAGTGAGGTTTTATTTTGATGCTGCTGACTTCTGGATTTTCAGAGCTGAGTGAGCTGGAGTCACACCATGAATATCATCACACAGCACCATCACAAGCCTCTGCCCAACCTCACCAGCACCTGATATTCATCAAGTTCTCCAGGTCATCTATTTTCATGTGCACAGGGGCTCTTTTCTGAGTATATCTGGTGTGCCTGATGCCACTGGGCAGTTCAGCACTTTTCGTTCACACATTTCCCATCTCCATCCCCCTTGAAACAGTCTCAAACCTGGATGAAGTTTTCTTAGGAGATATCACTGACAAGGTACAGCTAAAAATATGATCACAACTCTTTTCTCCTGTTCAAGACCTCAATTATCAGCATTCTTATGAGGAGAAACTCAATTTTCCTCCTCTTTCTGGGATATGATCCCACACTTCCTACCTAACAAGAGATGCTAAATCCCGGAGTGGCCTCAAAGCAGGGCAGTAAACTGTTTTTTTTTTTTACTTGGAATACTGATGTTTCTGTGGGACAGAGAAAGGAGAGTAAAAGAGTTATTTGTGATACTTTCGTTAGATGATCAAGGATCTAAAAGGCATCTTTTGTCATAGTCCATTTTCTTTTTAAATAGAGAAAGAGCAAAGTGTCTTAAAAACAGCAAGAGCAATAAGCAATGAAGTTAATTAATCTTTACAACGTATTTCTCTAAGACATGGGGAGCTATAGATCATTTGGAATCTTAAGAAGACACCTTGTTTTATTTTACAATGTTGCTGAGGAGTTCTTGGCATATATGAAGAATAGTTTGTGCTTTTTAGATATCCTGACCCCAGAAGTAAAACTGAAGCCGACCATGTATTTATTTTAATTTAACTTCAAGTCAGCCTTTATTATACAGAATAGCTACCTTACAGCCACCACTTTTCAGCCCAGGTGCAATGCCTGGATGGCAGTAGCTGATGTCTCCACTGTATTTGGCTCCAGGTTTCAACTTGTTTTCCATGAAAACACCTCAGAAACGAGACAACCTGTGCAACTGATGTCAAACAACAGGCATTGCCACCTCACTTGCCTCTTACAGTGAAAGGAACTACAATAAACCAGTGGTCCCAGCAGAAAACTTGTGCTGGCACTGGGAATAATGAACAGCTAGGCTGTAAAAATAAGTTTGGTACTAAACTGCACAAGTTACCTGTTACTCACCTGAGACTTTGGGATTCAAGGTTACACACACAGGATGATGCTTCACTGCATCAGTGGTGGAGTCAAGGACAAGACCTTGGGTGGAAAGGGCTGAGGAGCATCAGGAACTTCAGTTGTGCTGCAATTTTTACCTCCAGCCTGCCCACGGTTCTCTGAGCTGCTGGCACCTCTCTCATCTCAGCAACAGCTACCAGGAATGAGCTGTACCTCCCCTACAGCAACATTCTGAATGTTTTCTCTTCACCCTTCCCAGAATTTGGAACTGGTTCTCATGGCCAGAATGAGCTTGAGGTTATGGCCATAATAAGCTTGAATTTTTTCTGCAAAGTGACAAGGACCAGTGCTGGGCCACTGCCACTGTCCTGCTCCTTGGGAATTTGTTTATGTCTCCAAAACGAGATGCCCATGTCTCCATGACACTGCTACTGCTCCTGTGTTGATAGCAACCCACACTAAAGTTGCTCCCAACCAACAGAACTGCCCATGTTTCAAAATCATCACCTCTCCCATCAAAACCCACATTGCAAAACCCGCCCTCTCTTCCTGGCTTTCTCATGGAAACCACTCCAGGACAATTTCAGGTGCATTGTTCTCAAATTCTGGGTCTGGCAAGCCATGAGTCATACTTCCCTCTGAAATCCCCCCAAAAGAGAGCTGGGCCATACCTCCTTGAGGACCAGCACACACTTGCCAGGCCCCACAGACTGAGGTAGCTCTGCAATCCTGCCTTTGTTTAAATATGGACCTGAGAAGCAGCGGTGGTTGATGTAGAGCTGGGGGCAGCAGTATCTCCCATTGATGGTGCCTGCAAGGAGAAAGCAGCAGTGAGGTGCCTGTAGCACGTTTACACCATAAATCAAGGACACTTCTTCCTCCTAGATGTGGGAGGAAGGGGAAGAGAATAAAGGAGGCACAAAATTCTACCCTGGGATAGAAGGTAGGGAAGCCTCTGCTATTGAAATCTGTCCAGCATGGGAAAAGGAAGTGTTTTTAATAGTGACTGATTTGGCTGCACACTCTGCTGAGAGGACTGGGAAAGGATTTAAAACATGACATGAGCCAGTGCTCTTCCAGAATTCACAATGCAGGGAGACATGAGCAACTCACTGCAACCTGCCAGGAAGGGATGTGTGAGCTGAGCCTCAGAGGGAGGGAGAGCATTCTCTCAGTGAAGAGCCTTAGAAACCCTTCCTCAGCTCCTGTCCAACCCTGCAAGCCCTGCAGGACCATTCCCTGACCCAGCATGTGTCTACAGAGTCGTTTTCCTTGTCTGGGCTAACTACTCTGGGTTCCCTTATAGCCCACGGAAAGAAATGGGAACTTCTAGATGTGGTTCACATGCCTTTCAAGTGGTTATCCACATTTTTTGGTTATCACACCCAAACGACCCTGATTCCTCCCGTTTAACTGTAATGGGGTGCTGGCTGCAATGCAAACATGTGTCCCACAGCCTGATCAAATAGAGTGAGTTAAATCCTATCCCTGCTGCTGGGTTTACACCATTAACTGGATGAATATTGCACTCAGAGCCTCCTGCACTCAGAGCCTCCTGCCACTGCTGAAGGGGAGAGGAATCTGCCTTTAGCAGAAGCAGCAGCCACACCACACTGATGTAACACAGAGAACCCATCAGGTCCTGCTGCACCCAATTCCATCAGTGTCAATTAACAACCTGCACCCAACTCCACCAGAGAGATTCATCAGCCTTGTCTTAATATCATCATCTGAAATGGGCAAGCTCCAGGGGAACTCTGATAGCCCCAGCAAGACACGTGGAGAACCAGACCCTCACCTGCTGTACATCAGGTGGGCTCATTCCACCTTACACCCCCTGAGGATGTGGCTCCATCTCCCCACCCCTGTGACAACTCACTGCCTTTTTGGGGTCCTCCCCTTCCATACAGCACACGGGTCTTTGAAATAAAGATCCCTACCTGTTGTGTCTAGCTGAGGAACTGGGCAGAGGTCATGAGGTATTTTCTCAACAGGCACTGTGGATGGTAACCTGTAAAAGAGAAATTGGGTGTATTTAATAGAGTATTTGTGCATTTAACAGAGTCAGATAGGACAAAGGGCCAGACCCAGTCCTTAGGCTGGACCAGAAGATACACCAGCAACAGCCTGGGATGAGGAACCTCCAACACAATTCCATTTCCATGTGGTTGATCACAGACCAGGGTACTGCAGATGAAGGAGCCAGACTCACTCCTCCTCTAAAAATACACTCTGATGTGTCAGCTTTAGACCTCCAGGCTTCAAATATCCTCCCTTAAATCCCTTAAATTCAAGTTTCTACAAACTGCAAGAGCTAGACAAGGAAATGCCCTCCTGGTCCATGTCCATCTTCCCTAAGCATCCCTTGCTGGCCATCAGACAGGGGCTCCACAGCCCCAACCAGTAAAAAATTGCTGTTACTGAGACTTCCTAGTATGCTAACAAATATTTCAGACTTAAAAGAATCCTCTTGCTGGCTGTGCTGCAGTATCTGGGCAGTAGTTACCAAGCCACACAGCTGCTGTGTATTATTCCCCCAGGAAGACCTGATGCATTCCTGTAAAAACACCACCTTAAATAACAAAATCAGAACAACTTACTGTTTTTCTGGTTGCACAACGGCAATTCTCCTCTTCCTTCGCACTGCAAAAATGAAGCAAGGGAAAAAAAAATTGTTTTTTATCCTTCTGTCCTGTTAAGTACACCCAGAATGCATAAAAAGCTGTGTAAATGCACTGACTATAAAACGGCTTCGAACACAATGAAATGGTACTTAATTACTATCACCATCTTTTCTTGCTATTTTTTAAGTAAGTCACTACATCATTAAAACCTACTTTAATGATGTAATAATACATTTAATCTTTCCTCTGGAATGCTAATATTGTGTTTTATGGGATCAGCATAAAAGAAAAAAATTAAAATAAAAACACAAATATTTTTCCATACAGAAACACATATGGATAAGATTACATTTTACAAGCATGATTACCTCCAGCATAATTTATCCCCAGCTATAAATTGTGATAAGGCTGCATAATGTTGCCATAGCAGTACTCTCCTAAATTAGGCTCTGGCTGTCTGATTTTTAACTTAAGCATATTTAACTCTTCTAAAGGCCTGATAAATTTTAAAATTTGCCTTTCAGATGTTAATTAATATAAACAGTGAGGCCAGTTTTTTACCTGGTGGCTTGAGATTGGATATGTTGTAACAGGAGAATAACACCAAGCCACTGAGCTCTCATGAACTACCTTCAAATGCATATAAAAAGCAAAGAAATTTGTCTTAATATGCACTGGAGGCAGGACAAAACACTGTGGGCTTAATTGTGCTGTGAGGGGATTTAAACTGAACACTAGGAAAATCTCTGAGCTGGCAAGGGCAGTGAAATAAGGGACAGATACCCTGGGAAAGGGCAGAAACTCCATCACAGAAGGGCAGCAATTATTTCTCCATTTAGATAGAGCAGATCCTCTCTTGTAAAGGGGGACCTGGATGGCCTCTGTATGTCCATTCCACCTGGTATTTTATGGTTTGTTTTTTTTTTTCAATTTGAGGTCCTTGTTTCTAATCCACTCAGCTGCCTGACTGAACCTGGCTCAACACAACAAAATCTGGTTTCCCTCTGACAACCCCACTGACCAACAAATCCTTCTGCAAACCCACACCCCACTGTGCAATCCCAAACCATGGAACAGCCTCCCCTAGCACAGACAACCCCATTTTTGCAGGGGCTGATCACAGAGACAAATACAAACTGTGTAATTCCAGTCTGGTCACTAATTAAGATTTATTACCATTTATTGCAGTACACTTCCAGCCTGGTTACTGGTCTGCTGGGTAGGTTGATAGTGTCAAAAATGGGATTGTAGACCTTAGGAAAAATCCTGTGTACTATCTGCACTGCTCAGGTCCCCATGTACTTACAAACAGCTTTGTGTGGTGGGGTGAGGTTATAAGCATTTGCTTCACACCACCCAACAGGGAAAATGTCCATTGACTCCACATCAACAATGTACTCTGGAGAGGGCATCTGTGAACCTACAAACACGAATTTAAAATGGGATTTAGGCATGGGAACACCAAGCTCAGCCATCCAAGCATCCATCACAAACCTGGGGAAGTGAATGATGGAACGTGTGAAAATAAATTTGCTTCTCTTCACCAAAATCAGGCACCATTTCATCTACAGCTTTGCACAGACAGAAAGGATGGGGCTGCTGCATTTACAGTGCAATGTGGTTCAGAGGAAAAGCCCTTTAAGAGCATTTTGAGGGTTTGCAGTGAAGCAGCCAAAAGCCAGGGAGGTTAAACATACTTAACATACTAAACATAACTTCCCTCGACAAGATGGCCTGGCTGACCCCTGGGTATTTTGTAAAGTTGCATAAGTGAGTTAGAAGGACTTGATGAATGCTTGCTCTTAATGGTAAGAGTGTGTCTAGGCTTTCCCGGGGTGGCAGCTAATGTGTGAGAGAGGCTTTTATGGATCAGTGCTTCCCTGCAGCTTTTTTGTGCAGCTCTGCCTTTGAGTCCCATTTTTTCAGGGTGAGAGGTGGTCACTCTACTGTCCAGAAGTGCCACAGATTCTCCTAGGGTTCCCTCACATGAAACAAGAGCTGATCACCCAAGAGGAGAGAAGCAGTATAAAAATGCCAAGTTGGACACACACACCAAGGTCTCTGGCATGATGCTGACTCCACAACTTCACCTGAAGTCTCTGTTTAAAGCAATTATCTTCCAATTTGGTTATTATGCCTCCTTTAGAAGAAAATCCCTTGTCTTCATTTATGTGGGTCCCACTCACACAACCAAAGAATTATTTGGGTTGGAAAAGACCTCCAAGATCATCAAGCCCAACCATTAACCCATCACTGGCAAGCCCACCACTGACCCATGTCTCTCAGCATCACATCTACATGACTTTTGAACACTTCCAGGAACAATTATCCCATCACCACCCTGGGAAGCCCATTCCAGTGCTTGACCACTCCTTCAGTGAAGGAAATTTTTCCTTTTTTTTTTTTCTAATTTACCTGATTTCCACTCAAAATCCAATGACGATATTCCTGCTGGCTTTGAGTTCTCCCAAAAACAACTCTGTGTCCTGAGTCAAGGCACCATTTAACTACTCCAATTCAAGTTCAACTGCACTGGCACAGCTGGGCCAGCAACTTCACCTCTTCCCTCTGCCAATTCCACCCCAGGACAGAGAGCTCCAGCACCAGCATGGGGTGATCTCCTAATAAAAGGGATCTAAGGATCAGCAGCTTCCCATGCATCACCCTCACCCCAGCATCTGTTAAAACATCTTTGCCTCCTGCTTAAGGCAGCAAGTGTTTGACTGTGCACAGCCAGATTACTACAGGGAGCTTCCCACTAATGTGTGTTCATCAAGGGCTTGTGGTGTAATTGAAACAGTAATTGAACTTTGTGATGGGAACAGCACCGAGGCTGAGGTGCAGCATTTGGATCATTAATAAACCTGCTGCTCTGAGAGTGTGTGGCTGCATGAAAAACCCAAAGAAGGCAGGGAAAAAGGTGCTGGTGATCACACTGCTGGAGGAAATAATGAAAAAAATGCACTCATGATGTCTGTGTAGATTCATGGATGTCTTCATGTGTTTCTCTGAGCCCTGTGTCATGTTCATGCACTATCCATTGAGAGCACAGTGTCTCCTTCACTGGGATATGGGGGAGAGAATGGGATGAAGGAATAGGGGAAGGACACAACTTGCTGAATACAAGATTTCAGCAGTTGAAATTCCCTGGAAAACCATATCCCTCCACAAGAGAATACCATGTGGTCACTGCTCAGTTTGAACTGGATGAAAGCTCCAGTGGGGAGCTCCATTTCCACCTGACACCACAAATCCAGGCAAGGACCCCATGTGACAACAGTGAGTCAGTGTCAAGATATAGATCAAGCCCTGAACAGAGCAAGAAATCAACACAGACCCCACTGAAATGTCACCAGGACTGGGAAAACCAATTACTTCATTATTGTTATGGTGTTATTCTGACAAAACAGACTCAACTATCTTGGAGGTCTTCTCAATCTTAATTATTCTACAATTCTAAATTATTGTAAAGTAACCAGATCAAATGCACTTTCCTGCTTACAAGCAATAATAAATGAGACATGAAGGGTCTTTTCCAACCAGAATGGTTCTATGAACATTCTGGTTCTGAAGTTTACAGCTGCAGCCACCCTGAGGAGCAAGAAAGCAGCACAATGCCTGTTCTCCTGCTACACCTTGTTCATCTTGTAAGACACATTCACAGCTACTCTGCCCTCCCTGGCACTGCTTCTGCCCTCTGGCAATTGATAACCCTGTTTGCACTTCCAACATCCTACTGCTTCCTTTGGCCACACTCACAGGAGTGGAAAACAGCTTTTCTGAGACTCATTAGTTTCATCTGTTGTGTTTTATGCTGCTCTCTTCTCAGAGCTAGAAACGTCCATGAGAAGTGAGAGGTTAAAGGGAAAACAAGGAGACTGGAAACAGGGTGAGGAAAATGTCTGTGTCCTGCTATGAATCTTACAGGATGGGCAGAACAGAGCAGCAACTCTAGAAAACTGTAAAAGGGGAAATTACAGGAAACCTGCCTGGAGAAGTGATTAACCAAAGGGTTTTCCTCAAATTCCTGGGCTGTGCAGGGAGCGTGCATTATTACTTGTATAAATTCACACCAGAAAGCTTCAAGCTCTAAAATCTAAAATGAACCAGTAAAAATTAACAATGCAGATGATGAGTAATAAAGTAGCAGAGAGCACAGAGCATCCCATCAGTCCTGAGCTTCTCCTCCACCACGGGGGAACCACACTGCTGCTCATTAAACGCTCGCCCTCCAGTTTAGGGTTTTGCTACTGTACATTGTGTGATTTATCACACAATGTTCCCTCGTGTCTAACTCGGCCCTCCTTAACTCCTGTGCTCCTGGTTTATGGCTGCAGCCCGGGCTGTCAAACTGGGAAACTGGGAGGGCAACAGTGAAAGCTTCGGAGGCGCCTGTGATAAATGGTGGGACCTTAGGTCTTCAGTGAGGGGCTCCCGTGGTAGTTGGGGAGCTTTGCTGCTTCCAGAATATAAATAATCCATTAGAAACAACACTAAATTAATGGAGTCAAAAAAACCCATGCCACACTTCAAGCCACATTTATTTTATAACTCTGCAAGCAGGGGTTTTTTGGTTGTGGGTTTTTTTTTTAATGCCTGCTTTTAGCATAACACTGTGCATACTGTAGTGATGTATTCCTATAGCAGCAAAGATTTCTTTCTATTTCTGCAGTCTTTTGCATCTTTTCTGTTTATTACAGATCATTCAGTTCCTGGTATTGAGATATAAACCAAGCTTAAAGCATCTATATATCAGAACTCAAAAGAAAGAAGATGCACACAGGGTTTTTTTATGGTAAGTTATAAAAAAACATCCTTTAAGAAATTAAAAGAGTAACAGGCAGGGAGAAAGAGATAAGGAAGCAAGGTGGGAGTGTGTTTCCCTCTTCCTGCATCTATCCACATCTTTGGCATATACAAGTGAAGGCACTTGGTCATTTAATATAAGAAGTTCCCAAAATGGGTCAGATTCCTTGATCAGGTGCGTGTAAATTCAATAGCCTCGGTGAGAATGGAATTTCAAACAACTGTTAATTCCAGCAATTTAAAAATATATATATTTGTCCTGTGTCTGTACCAGGGTGCAGATGAGCTGTTGCTACCTTGAGCTATAAGGCAAAGAATTAGCCTAGAGTTAAAAACCAAAACCTGCCACTGCACACAGCTCTACCAAAAGCAAGCACTCAGGTGGAACTGTAATACTTTGGGTTACCTGGAAATGTCTTTACCAACTTTAAGGGCTCTGATTAGACACCTCTCCTCCTGTACAAACTGTCAGGTTGGGAATTATTGTAGAAGTCTCAGCTGCACAAGTGAGGCAAACTTCTATTCCTAGGATGAAGGTGCATGATGATGGCAGAGAGGAGGTCGTTATCATGGGGATAAAGCCCATGTGGATGGGAGGGTGGAGGAACTTGCAGCTCCACCAGAGAAAGAGCAGGTAAATATAATTCCTCATGACACACAAGTGGTCAATGTGTATAAAACTGAAAAGCTGGAGAGAGAAATTTTGTGCAGAGGATGAAGGGAGTGAGAGTGAGTGGGTTGGTGAGTGGGTGAGTGGGTGAGTGAGTGAGTGAGTGAGTGAGTGAGTGAGTGAGTGAGTGAGTGAGTGAGTGATGAGTGAAGCAGACAAACACCAGCTGCCTTTAGAGCAGGTACCTTCCAGGTGCAGCCACATCAACCGTCCTTTCACCGAGGTGATGGAAGCAACACAAATCTCTGCAGGGTTCCTGGGGTTCACTGCCTCCAGCTTCATGTTCTTGGTGAAGCCACGGCTGAAGGATGTCTGAAAGAGTCAAGAGACAATGCTGGAACATGGCACTGCAGCACTGCACAGCTACAACCTGATTGTCTGCTGGGAGGCATAAATTTAGCATGGTTTGCTTTCCACTGGAAGGGCAGAATGCGAAGAAGAAGAATGCAAAGGCATCCAGGGTCAAATCAGAGCTGTGCTGGTGCAGCCCATGGTGAGGCAGCACATTGGGGTCTGGGGGAGTAGAGACCCACCTGCTGCCCCTGGAGGGATACCCAAAGGAGGCTGTGACCCTGGAGAGAGGAGCCCATGCTGGAGCAGGTTTGCACCAGCAGCTGTATGAAAAATCAGTGATGAAATGCATGTCGTGTTCTACTCCTACCCCGGACTCCTAGGAGACTGGGAGGAGGCTGCTCCACATCAGTTCCGAGTATGTTTGAATGTTTGCCAGTGGTGCATTTTCTGTTAATGGGATACTACCCAGAGGGTTCCCAGAACTCCTGTGCTTATCCATCTCTCACCTTGCTAGGAGAAACCTTATAAAGCAAAAAACCCTCTTGTCTGAGACCAGAGAAACCTCTTCATACATTCAGTCACTCAAGCTGACTGAAGCTGAAGATATTTGAGTAACCTTTTCAACTATGCTTTTCTTCGTGGAGTTTTCATGGAAGGGCCTCTGAGCAACAATCTGGTGGGTGGCAGCAGTGCCCATGGGATGGGGGGATTGGAACTAGACAGTCTTTAATGTCCCTTTCAACCCAAACCATCCTGTGATTCTATTTTAAGCTCAATGAACAAGGCTTCCAAGTACATTGGCTGGAGTGCAGATGGATCCAGTTGTGTTCATTGCTACTGTTCCTTCCAATGTCCCCTCCTGTCACTTATTCTCAGTCCCTTCCCAGTATCTCCCCCACCACTATCCCTGAAAACACACTAATGCAACACCTGTGTCCATACCAGGCCTTCCTTTCCTTGGATTTCCTTCCCCTCTGTTCCACCTCCTCTGCATCTCTCTGCACAGAAGGGGTTCCCTCTCTAAGATTTTTTGCTAATAATAATAGTAATAATAATAATAATAATAATAATAATAATAATAATAATAATAATAATAATAATAAAATAAAAATAATAATAAATAATAATAATAATAATAATAATAATAATAATAGTAATAATAGTAATAATAATAATAGCCACTGATTCAGAATGACACCAAACCCTCATCCTATGTGAGAAACTGCAAGTCAGGCTCAAATTCAACCCTTCTCCTCTTGGTACCACACCAAGGATCATGGGCACTTCACCTTGAACAACCATTGAGAGAACAATCTTTGAGAGACTGAAAACTCACGGCTTTGTTCTCTTTTCCATCCAAGAACACGCTGCTACTCTCAAACACAGCTTGGACTGCCTCAAGCCTTGCTCAGCACACAGATCAGCTTCACCCTGCAAAAGCTGCTAATGGCCAGGGCTGCAGGAATGCAGGCTGAGTTTGTTTAAATGCCTTTTATGTTGCCTAACAAGGAAACGCCATTTATCATCACTCCAGCTCCTTTCAGGCTCCTTTCATTGCAGTTCGGTGCTGGAGGCTCATTTATACAAAATCAATGGCAAAACAGTTAGGTGGAGTTTATTTTACTAAGCATTTGGGCACGTCAATCCATTTCATAACTGCCTGTCCTTGTTAAAAATCCCTCCTGGGGAAACAGCTACAGCACCTCCACTGCCAGCACCAGTCCCAGCACGAGGTGGGAGATGCAAAAATCTTCCATCAAAGAGCCCCTCACAGCCACAAATCAAGGGGACCAGCCAGCCAGGAGGCTGTACAAATGACAAGAGTGCAGTTCCCTCTGAAAAGAATTGTGTTATTAAGAGTGAAAGAATAAGAGACACATGTTCATCTGGTGAATGTTTTCTTAAAAAAAAAAAAAAAAAAGGACCAAAAAATGCTCAGACCTGACTTAAAAAGGACCAAAAAATGCTCAGACCTAACTTAATGTTAGAGGATATTATGCAGAGACGTTTCTAAAGGCTCAGAGAAGAGATCCATTACTTGGCAAAATGAAAAGGTAGGGATGCTTGAAGAAGAGAAATGCAAAAATAGTCCCACTGTATTGGTGTGATGCAGCACTGTCCAGCTTCCCTCAGGACTGCTGGAGATCTTTGTTTTAAGTCCCTTCAGGATGAGGGTTTTTATGGAGCAAAGAAATCCTCACTCTGGTTTGACTCTCAAGTCAGACTCTGTTCATAGCACAGGTCCTATGAGTTTGACAACAAAAAATCCACCAATTCACCATCAAGGCTTCCAAGCCAGGCAGATCCTGAGCCACCACAGATGAGCAAGGCCATGGAAAACCACAGCTGGTGCCTGTCTCCATTCTGCTTTCCATAAACACCCCACCCCTCAGCCCTGTGACTTCTGAGTCCAGTGAAAATCTGTACAGTTCCTACAGAAACCTGTCTGTCCATCATTCACACCATGACTTTATTTTGCAAAGCCTTCAGTGCTCATTTTGGGTGCACCACTAAGATTTAGGTACCACCATCAGGAGTATTTTCAGTTACTGATGGGATCTCAACCTCCATCAGCTGATGGGCACATGAAGGACAGCACCAGGTTACTGGAGAAGGCAGAAAGCTACATCTGCCTTTCCTCAGGCAATGAATACCTGTCAGATCAAGCCACACAGGACTGTCATTGCCATAAAACAGCCTGCAAAAGATTATTTCAAAACCTGTGAATCTCAATGGCATCCATCACTCTCACATCACTGTTGCTGCATCAAAAGGAAGGACATGAACTGTCCCAAGGACAGAGCATCCGTGAGGGTTAATCATCCTCTCATATATTTTCAATGTTTAGAATTTTAATACATGTGGTTTGGTTAAATGTATCCCCCCGGGATACAGAGAAACACCTAAAATGTAGAAAGGGGCAAATGATACTATGCAATTTCTTTACCTGAATTATTTTTAGTAGCACTTGAATTAATTGCAATAACCAGTTGAGATCCTTTTCATGCTGTACAAAACCGGAGAGGGATGAAGAGCAGGATAATTACAGAAAAAGACAAAACTAAAATCAGGTTTTTTTCACTTTTAGGGATGGAGACCTGGAGCACTCCCCCAGTTTCCTGCCTTGAGCAGCCTTATGGTGCTCTGGGGGAGCCTCTCAAAGCCTTGCAGCACTGCTTCTGTGCAAGCTGTTTTGTTTCACGTGGATGGACAGGAGCAAAAGCAAGAACTTACATTTCTAAAGCACAGGTGAGGTGCTGCCTCAGCTCCACACTGCTTCTGGTAATCTGCCCAGTCAAAGTCCTGGCCAGAGTAACCTGCAGGAGGACAAAACAAAAAGAGCCATCAGCCACCACTCCACACCACAGACAGGACAAAAGGGGCCCCAAGCAGGTGAGCACTGGTGTCTGAAGCCAACGGCTTCTCCAGCCTCCACTCACACACCTCCTGCATCTCACTGCCAAGTCTCCATTAAAAAGTAGCAAGACATAATTATTTTCCCTACTTTCCCTTTTCTGTGAGCATCTCCCAACTTTTAACAAACCCATAATTAATGAGAAGTGCCACTGTCCCAGATTTCCACATGGGGCTACTTATGGACTTCCTTCTCCTGCTTTCAGCTAAAAAAAGATGGGGTTATGGAGCAGGACATGGGTTATTTCCTCAGGAGTGGACAGGGAGAGGATCAGAACCATCAGAAGCTGATCCATCCTCTCTTTCAAAGCAGGAGATAAATTCCCTCCTCTTCAGTCATGTGCCCTCCCTGACTGACTCCCCAGCAGCTCAGGGTGTGTGAGCTGAATCCCATCCCTGTAAGAATGTTACAGAAACCTGGAGCAGAGCAGGAAATTGAATGCAGACCTCCCATCCTCAGCAAGCAGATCATCCCTTCAGCCTCTGCTTCTAAGTAAAATAAAGGGATTCCTTTATATGTACATCTCTCAAGGAGTCCCATTACAGAAAGACAAATGAGAGCTCTGCTCATCCACTATTCTTACTTGGCAATTTAGGCAATAAATTCTTGGGACAGAAATGTTTTGGGTTTTTTTAATTTGCTTTTGAGGGCTTTTTATTTGTCTGCCTCTTAGTCTCTATTTCTGCAGTGCTTGAAACCAGGGAGTGCTAATCCTGTCCAGGGGCCTGTGGATACTTTAATGACATTACTGCAGAACTACTCTTACTGGAAAGTTTCAGGAGTCACCCAAAGGCCAAATTCTCCCCTCAATCTCCCTTCCTGGCATCTCAGCCTGGCCTCATTTCACAGAACATCCCTAAATGCTTTTTGCATTGATAGTCAAAAAGAGACCCTCAAGATCAAATGGGAATGAATCATTTATGACAATGAAAAAAATCGTGACTTTTTTTTACAGGCAAGGACTGGAATACTGAGTGTAATCCCCTATCAGTCTGCCAGATCCCAAAAAAAGGAGGTAAAATTTTTGAAAACAATGTGCCAAGCATCCTGCTAAGATCCAAGTATCTTGGATAAGATGATTTCTAATCCTAATAATTGCATTCATGACAAACAAATTACTGAGATAAGGCCTTGAGCTAAGATGCCTGTTCTCTGTGGGGTATTAAAGTGTATAATAATTAAAAAATTAAACGTGCACAGGGAGAGAAAAAAGGGCAGTTACTTATAAAGAATATTCTTTTTTCATACAAAAAGATATCCTTGCACTGTTTTTTACCAATTTCTGCAACAGTATTTTCTTCACACTTCATCTCTTTTTTTATCTCCAATTTAATCCCCTCACGAATGGGTTTCGTATCTCGATTTTCAGCTACACAGATCTTGTCAGAGTGCATGGAAAAGGCACATTAGAGGTGTTTTAGAGAGGTACAAAAGCTTGACTGTGTTGTCAGCACACAACTGCTGGCTTGGCCCTGCAGCACTGGAACCACTGGAAATCCTTTTCCTTTAGGCTTCAGCAGGAATGGAACCTGGGAGGGCAGGTGGGGACTGAAAAATAACTCACTGCAGCACCACAAGGAGGATTCCTAGAAGGGAACACCCAGGAATTGATTTAAAATAAGCCCTGACTGCTTGTGGCCTTTTCAGGGTGAGGCTGCACCTCCAGGGCTGTGTCCAGTTCTGGGCTTCCATGGCCAGAGAGACCTGGAGGGGCTGGAGCGTGTCCAGGGAATGGAACAGAGCTGGGGAAGGGGCTGGAGCACCAGGAGGAGCTGGGGGAGCTGGAAAGGGGCTCAGCCTGGAGAAAAAAGGGGATCAGAGTGGAGCCTGTGGCTCTGCACAACTCCCTGACAGGAGGGGACAGCCAGGAGGAGTCCAGCTCTGAGAACAGGGACAGGAGGAGAGGAAATGGCACTAAGCATTTATTTTATCCAGGTCATCAGCCTCATTTTAGAGTAAAACATGAGAAACAGTAAAAGCCCTCATAGCCTTATTGTTTCTTATCCTTCCACCTTCAACATTCTTATGTTCTTCCACTCTAAAATTTGCTTTCACACAACTTTCTGAGAGTTTTCTACCTTTTCTATTTCCCAAAGTGGGGGGTGAGGTTGGATATAAGGAAGAATTTATTCACCCAAAGGGTTGTCAGGCATTGGAATGGGCTGCCCAGGGAAGTGGTCAAGAAACAACTGGACACTCAGTGCTGTGGTCTGGTTGACAAGGTGGTGACCAAAGGCTGGACTCCATGATCCAGCTTGACTGGAGGTCTTCTCCAACCTGACTGATTCCCTTGATGCCTTGGGTTTTAGCTTTTATATTTTTCAGAATCTCTGCCACTTAGTGTGTAACTCTGAAACTTCATGTTAGGTGTTAGTAAGGTCTCTTCACAGGGTAGTGACAAAACAATTCCTTTCTAGCTAGAGAATCAAAGATAACCAGTACCCAAAAAGCAGAAATAACAGTGATGGAAAGGGGGCAGGCCAGGGGCTGAGACTTCACAGCCTGGGGCTGTGGTTGGATAATTGACCCCAAGATGTAGATGAACCAAAATTTATAAAAGTGTAAAACTCATGACCAGGATCCAGCTTGGATTTGATCTGGGTGCAGCCCCAGCAGGCCCCTGCACTACCCAAGGTGCATCCTTTCAATAAATACCTATTTTATTCCTTTTGCTCTGTCTCTGTTCCAGCTCAGCCTTTCCAGCTAACACCCTGACTCTGTGATCCTGCTCTCAGCTGCCTCCCTCAGCACACGGGGAGGTACCAGGCACCCAGTGCCTCCATCAGCACACATCACTCACACCCTGCCACCCTGGAAGGCTCAGCACAAGTCCTGGAAGGCTCAGCCCAGGTGACAACACTGAGAGCTGTGTTTGCACAGCTCAGCTGCTGCTCCTCAAACCTGCAGCACCTTCAGTGTGTTTGCCATCTCAGCTCTGGGCATGGCAGAACCCAGCAGCCTAAGCAGAAGCAAATATAACAATACAAACATACTGGAGGTTTTGGAAGTGGCTTTTCCTTAGTAAGCTTTACAACTAGGAGCATTATCAAAATGTTTTTTCCTCCCCACTTAATAATAGCTCATAAAACAATGATTGTTACTCTAAAGGGAAGTGGTCTATAAATCCTGCTCTAACAAATATAAACAGAGCTTGTTCAATGTTTATACAGCAGCAGTTAATGGGTATTCATTTTTGGCACTGTACAGGAAAACACTGCTCTCTATTTTGAGTAGCAAATATTTGCACCTCTTGTTCATGACCCATTTACTCCTTGTTTGTCTTCAATAAAGCCCTGATAGGCAAAAAGGCAAGAGAATGAATATCAGACAAACAAAGGACTCTGAACTCCAATACCCCAACCTGGCACATTGTTCTGATGAAAAAAATCAATTGATTTTGAGATCAGAAAACCTCCTTGTCAAGCCTAAATTAACCAGGGGCCTGGATGCTTTTCACTTTCTGTCTGCTTTCTTTTCTGGTAGTTCACGGGTTTTTGTTGCGTTTAGTTTATTTTCAAATAACTCATTCTAATATCTGATTACATTTTAGTAACTCAAAGAACGTGTCTGCCCACAGAAAAGGATTTAAGGTGCTAAAATTCAGTTTGGACATGTAGCCCTTATATACAGTATAAAAAATACAGCAAAACATAGAAGGCATCTATCTGCCACTGGCTTTATGCCTTTTTAATAGTTTCCCTCCAGGATTTCTGATCTCACAGCAGAAAGCAAATTTGATTTTCACCAGGGGAGTAAGGAGAGACTTTCTGCACTTTCTCAGGTGCCCAGGTGGATCCCAATAACCAGGTGTCACACAATATCACAGAACCACAGAATTTCAGAATGGTTTGGGCTGCAGGGGCCTAGAAGGTGCCTCAGTTCCACCTCTCTGCCATGGGTAGAGACACCTCCCACTAGACCTGGCCAAGTTAAAAAATATTCACATGACAGATGCTTCAGATATGTCTTAAAATGTTGGCATTTAAAAGAGAGTTGATACACACTTGACCCATAAAACACCATCTCAGACAGGCATTATATCAGCATGGATTGGAGATTTTTAAGCTTATGGTCTCCTTCAGTTAATTATCCTGCCTGGGGCAGGCTGCATGTGAATTTGGGTGGAAAAAACCCAAAATACTCCATTTACTTTCATTTTTAGCAACTTTTCTGGCCAGTATCAGTGAGTGCTTACACATTATCGTTACACCTGGGTTTCAGCAGGAGAGAGAGAGCTAAAGCCCCAGACAGCAAATTTATTTCAGCAGAAGCAGCAGAGCAATCATGGATGCACCACATGCAGCTGCATGCACAGGGCTCCAGGACTTTGGTGGGAATTTCAAATTACATGTGCTGAAGCACTCTGGATATACATGAGAGGATTCTGAATCTGGTAGGGAATAACCATTCCCTTCTCTGGGTTTGGCAGCATCATGCTTTTTCCAAAATGAAGACAAAAGTTCATACACAAAACTTAGCTTGTTGAGTTTGTTTGTTTTTTTTTTTTAAGGCCCTTCTTTCTCCCAAGCAACACTGATTTTTTGGCAATAGACCAACAACCCAGACAGCTTCAAAAACCTGAAATTCCAGGGAACCAACACATTTTGCAAGCAAAGAAATATTGCTAGGGCACCACAGGTGGTTGTCTGAAGTTGGGAGTAATTAACTGCACTGCTACAAAGCTGAGGTACAGCAGGGCTGGAGGCTGTTTCCCCTGGCTCTGACCCGAACACTGCTTGCAGTGTGCCCTGGGATTTGTTGAGACAGCCAAGGAAATCCCTCCTAACTCCGGGGAAGCTGTTTTTACTCAGACATTCAGATTTAGGAGCTCTGCTTGGCCTCAGTGTTGTACCAAGGTGGATGAAACAGGGTTTGCCACTACAGTGATTGGACTTTTAATGCTCCTTTTGCTCTGTACACACACAAAGAGCTGCTAGGAAGAAATTCATGAGGATTTCACAAGCCTGAATCAGATTTCAAGGCACAGGGACATCAATCCTCCAGCAAGACACATTTGTTGAGATGTTCACAGGCTGGCAGAAGCCAGAACAGCCCCAATCACTCCAGAGAACTCTGGCTTGAGAGACTTCAGATGATCCCCTGCAGCAACCACCACCACAATTTTAAAGGCAATAATAACAAGCACATGTCTTTCAGGGCAAACCCAAAAATCACTGAGAAGGAATACAAACCCTTGGGAGGTGTGAGATTGACTCCGTTTTTAAGGCACCACTGTATTGGCAAGATCCCCAAGGAATCTGCATGGCAAAGCATCGAGATTTTGCTGGGTTCAGGTCTCAAGTCATCAATGGTCACTTGTAAATAATGATTGTTAAAAACCTAAGAGGTGAAAAAGAAGAGATCAAAATCAGGAGTTAGATTTGCTGCAACACTAGGTAATGCAGAAAGCTGCAAGAGCCAAACCTGGGGATCAAACTACTGAAAATAATTTACTCTCACCTAAACCTTTTCATCAAAGTGTTTCTCCCCAGGAGATCAAAGCCTGAGTTTTAGAGATGGGTGAAATGAAGCAATGGAAAGCACTGAGGTTCAGGGTCCCACAGCTGAGCAGCAACAGGAGATGATCCTGAAGACCCCAGAGCCTTCCAGCTCCATTCAGCTGTTTTATTTCCAAAGGTTTCTCAGATGTGCAGGGAAAATACACGTGGATGGAGGGGAGACAAAGACAAAAGAAGGACTCTTTTTTTTGCATGCCTGTGGTAGATGAACATGCTCATCCCCATTGGTTTTAAGTGCATGGAATCAGCTGGTGATGCTTGTGGGAAAGAAAGAATTAATTAGGAGCATCCATGGATTTTAAACCTATTTCTTAATGTCTTCTCCAGCCACTTAAGTACCACCCTCGTTTTTGGTTTTTTTTCTAAATGTGGTGGAAATCAGGAAGGGTTTCCTAATCAGGCTCTTTCCATCCCTGCTTTCTGAGCACTCACCTTGGTCACTGATGCAGGACAGATATGAAATGGCTCCCTCATATTCACTGCCTCCAGCTTCATCCCCACAGTGAAGAAGTGGTTTCTCAAATCAGCATGGTCCTGTGGGAAGAGGAACACATGGTGACACCAAGAAGGAGCCAATACATCTGAAAATCTATTTCAAAGGCATCCAAGTGGGTTTTGTCAATTTAGCTGTTCCTATGTTCTTTTCATGCCAACCCAACCACAGGAAGAGAGGAGACAACCTCAGTCCTAGGGGACACATCTACATGCCCCTCTCAGCAAAGGCATCCAACCAGAACTTGGTCCACAGGGAGATTGTGCTCACCAAAATGAGGACCTGGCTGCTTGAAAATCTCCCTTGGGCAGAGCTTCTCCAACCCTGACAGCCACCACCCTCCAAGCAACTGAGATTCCAGAGGTGCCAAGACTCAAACTGAAGCCCCCCAGGGTAATGCACAAAATGGATGCAGAGCTCAGCATGGCCCTGATTTACCCTGATGGATGTCCAGCACCTGCAGGGCACCAAAGGAAGCACCTGGGCTGGTCTCCAGGATGGCAAGATGGAAAGGTATTTTCTTCCAGCCAGGAGACTGGAAATGGATTAGGGCTTGGACAGTGAACTCAGACACAGAATGTGAGCAACCAGAAAACATGATGATGGGAAAACAGGCAGCTGTGTTCAAGTCCATGCCAAACTTAACACTTCCACCTGGGATAAAACCTGGCTGCACCCACAGGCTACACACAGAGGGCTCCCCAGAGGAGCTCTGGGGATGCAGGATGCAGTCCTGAAATTCAGAAGCAACCCAGATTCACCTCCCTGGTTTACCACCAGTTTAGTGTTTAACACCTAATTACTCCATCCCTTGTGACCTCTATCTAAGAGTCACACAAGCTGCCACCCTAATTCCAGGGTAATGACTGCATTTTGTGTTCATTCAATAAAAATGTCCCCCAGTATTTCTAAACCACTGGTGCATTAGCCAATACAAGCATAAAGAGAGGTGATGTTATATTTAGCATACACTCACAGACTACTCCAAAATACATGTAAAAAGCTTGCTATCTGTAAGTGGTTAGCAACAATAATCCCATCTACATTCATTGCTACACGTGGTATTCTTGTTCTAAAATGATTTTCTATTGATCCGAAGTTGTGCTTCATTGTCCTTTCTTTTCCCAAGAACTGTCTGCACTTGTAAGGGCTTAACAACTTCTATTTTGGGATCTTACATTCCAACTGCTGCTAGAGATAAGGATTTTTACAAGCTCCAACCACAGCTAAATGAATGGTTGTTTTCATTTTACCAACCTGCAGTGTTACAGAGCCCTTTAGGTGAGAACCAAAAAGCAGAAAAAAACATCAACTATGATGTATTTTGTCTCAAACCAGAAGAAAACACTGATGAGGAAACTGAGGAATATTTAATAATGGCCCAGAGCCCAAGGAACTAATGGCTGAGGAAGGAGCAGACATCCAGGAGTTTGAGGATCCTTTTCATAAGGGCATGCAATGATAGGATGAGGGAGAATGGCTTTGAGCTGAAAAAGGGCAGATTTAGATCAGACATTAGGAACAAATTCTTTACTGTGAGGGAACTGAGTCACTAGAACAGGCTTCCCTGAAAAGTTTTGGATGTTCATCCCTGGAAGTGTTCAAGGCCAGGAACTTGGGACAGTGGGAGGGAGGTGAGCTTTAAGGTACTACCAAAAACTGCCACCTTTAATACTGAAAAGGCTTCAGAGGGAAAAGACGATGGCTGCAAAACCCCAATCTCACCAGCACTGAACTTCAAACCCCTAAAGGAAAAACAGCATTTGAACTGGAGGGCTGCCTCCTCCTGCCTGAGGATCCACACTCGGAGTCTCTTAATCCTTGGAGTGAAGTTGTAAAGAAAAGGCAACTCTGCAAAATGTGCATCTGGAATCAGCATCTCCCCACAAACGTTCCATGATTCAACTCACGCTCGGATCCAGCCTCAATATGTAATAAGCCAAGATCCACCAAAGTACTTAATCATGTTTATCTTTAAACATGCAAGTAGTTTAATCAACTTTTAAAGTGATTTGTTGATTGAGACCAAAATATACTGACACCAAACCATACTGCCTCTCCTTTTTATCTGAATCATTTTCTTTGGTGTTCCTCCTTCTATTTGTTTTGGCTTTTTTCAAAGGAGAAAAATAATCAGATAGGGGGAAAAAAGCATCAATAATATTTAAAGGTATTTTACTTCAAAAGCGCTGTGTACCTTGGGATCAAATCTCCCTTGTCATTCAGCATAGCAAGTAAATATTTTCCATTAAATTAGTTGCAAGAGCGAACTCGCAAGGGGAGTTCACAGGATCTCAAGTACATCTCCCTTTTGAGGGTCAAAAGCCTCTTTGAAGCAGGAACATGCATTTCTTTGGAGAAATGCTGTGGAAGTAAAAACCTTTTCTGTGTTAAATGTCATTTTTCAGATGGAAAAGCTTTCATGGAGAAAAAGTCTTTGTATTGTACCTCTCTGGAAAATGGTCAGGGTCTGGATATTTGATCTGTTTCGTATAGTGGATAAGAGAATCATCAAAATTTACTAAAGCAGCTTTATATTTTTGCAATCACAAAAGAAAAGAAAAAAGATTCCTGATGCCATTCTCCGGTTCCAGTGCTGGAGCTGCCTCAGCCAGCAGGGAATTACTTAGGATTTGGCATATGCTCCTCTTCAAAACTCCAATTAATTTACATAATTTCTAAGAATAGGTTCCAGAGAAGTGATGGCAAAGCTTTTAATTAGTATTAGACTCAAAGTGATACACTGGATAATGAACTGCTCTCTCTTCCCTTTATTCACACTGACAGGAACGACGCCTGTTTAATAAAAGCAGCTACAAGGAGAGGACTGGAGGGCTGAGACTTTCTCCTGGTCCCCGCCAGGCTCTGCAGCTGAACAAAAGAAATGCCTGAAAAGATAATGGGTGGCAGAATTCAACTCTTTGCTGCTATTTCACAGCATTCAGCACCACCAGTGAGGATGTCACCAGCCATTATTTTCTAGCAACTTCTCCAAGTGACTTTCAATTTCCTTTGAAATGGAGATCAACAGGCAGAATAGTTTTGACCAGCTGGAGCATTTTAAAGCCTCATGCATGGTGGGCCTTCACTCCTACTCCCAGGAGCAGCCTCGCTGACCACACAGAAGTTTGGGCTGGGTATTAGGAAAAATTTTACACTGAATGGGCTGGCAAGCATTGGTACAGGCTGCCCAGGGAAGTGCTGGAGTCACCATCCCTGGAGGGATTTAAAAGTTGTGTGGATGTGGCATTTGGGGACATGGTTTAGTGGCGACTTGGCAGTGCTGGGTTAATGGCTGGACTCGATCTTGGAGGTGTTTTCCAAACTAAATGAGCCAACGATTCTGTGATTCTATAATTTATACCAGCACATAACCTGTCCTGGGGTTCACCAGCCCTGAGAGGGGAATGGAAACATCCCCTGGCTGCTGAGGAGAAGTCAAGAAACTGAGACTGACAATCAGCAAGGATGCAGGAGAGTCCCTTACAGCAAAGTGAAAAAATCATGCCATGAAACATTCAACAAATTAACGTGGCACAGGCACCACAGCTGCTCACTCCAAGGGTCACAGTCTCTAACATGATGGATTACAGCTCACGGGTAATGAGTGAGCAAAACCCCTCAAAGAACGTCTGTCACTCACAGTCCAAACCCACTGGCAACAGCCAGAGCTGTCACAGCTCACTATAATCCCAAAAAAGCAATTAAACTCAGCCCCACACTCACAGCTTTAGAGCAGGGGGCGCATTTGCAAATGCACAGGCTGTGACCCCCTGGGCCACCTGAAAGGCAGCTCTGCTTTGATACACATCTGCAGCATGATTTCCATCTTTACATGGCTTGTGTTTCTGTAATTATTCTGCAAAAATTACTGAGGGGCTTTACTGATGGGCTTTGCAACAGCTCACTGCATCCAGCATCACGCAGCTCTGGGAACTGCAACATCTGGAGGTCAAGTAACAATTCAGGCACAGTGCTGGGAGCAGAAACAGGCTCCAAATTCCCAGCCTTCTTTTTCTTTCTTTAGGGTCTGAGATAGCCACGTACTTTTCTCCCTCACAGCTAACGAGCCACCAGCAGTGTGGATTTCAGAAATGCCAGGTGACACGCCAGCCTAAATGTCACTCCAAAAGAGATCCACAAAGATTTAGAAAAGCATTGCAACTCTTAAGGATGTGAGTAAGCCTTAGAGAAGCACTTTTGTGGGTGACATGCTTAAGTCCTGATAATTAAGTCAGTAAGTACCAGTTTTAGGTGACAGACTCAGAAAGAGAAATTTCAAAATCATCACTGCCATTTGCTCAACCTGGTAGCTAAATAGCAGGTCAACAAATGTTAATTTCTGCCAACAAAATGCCATTTGGGTGTAAATAAACTCAATTTTGTCCATGTCACGGGAGTGGAGCTCAGGTAATTTTACAGTGCACTGGGTAAAGCTGATAGAGCAGGGGAAGCTGGCTAAGCTGCTTTTGTCTGTGACACTTAGGGAAGCTGCACTCCAGGCTGTTTGCTCTATCTGTGCCCCCAAACCCAAAGAACAGCATCACTATAAGATTGTGAAATGTCCATTTCTAGCCCATTCTGCTCAAGAGCACTGGAGTAATAAAATTTTAAAGACAGCAGCTTACATATAGAAAAGAGCAAAAAGAGCAAAAGCCTCTCATTTGGGTCTAATTTTCAAATTTCAGGCTAATTTTCAAATATTATTAAAACTCAGGGCTCTTTTGGTCTAGGACAGTCAGATGCACACAAATTACAAAACTGCAACTTCATGCAAAATACAGAACTAAGTTTGAATGCTGAAAAGTTGCAACGTTGAGAGGCTGATTAAAAACACTGACCACTTAATAAATTATTGACCTGAGCCTCCTTTAACCATAACAAAGTGAAATATTCTTGCCTTCAGTCCCATCTCTCCTGGTTTACCCTAATAAAGGACATACAGGCCCCATCTGGTATAACTAGGAACATATTAGCTGATCTGGTTTTTGTTTTTGAAGAAATCACTTCCCCTCCGTGTTTTGTGTAATTTCTCCAAGAA